GTGCTAATAGAAAAATCCTCCCTCGAGAAAGAAGGATTCTTTTGATACAGTGCAACAAAAGACCATCCATTCACAAAACTTGACTTTTCCTCGCCAACATAAAACACATGCATAACACGGAATCATCATCACTCATTATGACACAATGAAATTGCACTCACAGATGCATTAAGCGATCCGTTTAAACCATGAACTACTCTGTTTTTCTGTTCCTGGAGATCCTGCTCTTTCCAACGCATTTTTTATGCCATTCATTTATACACGTTACTCGTACTTGTCTGCTTTCTAGTAATTTCTTTTATATCCATTACATAACTGTACGTGTACTTCTCAAACAGAGCAAACTGAGGAAAATGCTATCCGTTCGTGCAAAGGTGTTTCCCCTCGACTGGTAACGAAACAATAACGCCACAAGGAATAAGGAATAAGGCGTCAGGTAATGCAGTGCAGTAAATAGTGCGGATAAAAGTATTATATATGCGATATAGCCATATTACGTACGTCCGTGCACCCGCTAACCATAACCTCGACATTTCTTTTGACAATAAAGATGCAAACAGAGTGTCTTTCATCTTTTCTTCCACCACTTTGTATGTCACCTGATTCTTAAAAAGTGAGGAATTTGCACGACAACCGATGTCATATTGGATATTTACTACATAATATTACATGCTTTCACAAACATTAAGAGACAGTAGTGCTTGCTTCTCAGGTTATGTAAATGTTGGCAAGGTCGCCCTCGACACAATATCTGAAGAAGAAAAAGGAGCCGTATAAAATGCTAACCAGTTGTTTGGCTAAATGTTACGCGCTGATCCTGTACGTTTCGAAATTAGGTCGTACATATTCCACAGTGAAAAAGGTTGCATTCTTCCTGACAGGTTCGTCTTCTTGGTGGTATTCGGGTATTATAATGGCACGTAAAAGATGAACAATGTTTGGCCAGCTCTTTCTCATCATGAGCGCCGTTTCATTAGGAAACTAAGAAGATGCACATGGCCGGAGCCATATCTGAGTGAGCGCATATCTGGGAAAAGGCTGCATAAATTAATCAAATAAACTGGTCCGAATGTAATGGTTTATTTATCCATTTTATGACCTAAACAACACTTTCAGGCGGCCAACAGCTGCGTGAAAAAATATTTACTGATCCTGCCAGCTCCCATCCATCCTTATCTGAATTGTCTGCTTGTTTTCCATCTCCAAGATTCTGATTACAGAATAAAAACAAACTTTTCTTGTGTGAGCATTGCGTCTCCTCGAGTATGTTTCCAGCTCATGTTTAATTGCCTAATGGTTACTATTCAATAAATCAACGGGGATCAGATGTAAGCACATACCTACTCTTAATACCGAGTTTAACAGCATATGTTTCACCCCCCGGTAACATGTTGCAAGTAAATCTAATCCGTGCAAAAAAAGTGACAAATCGACACAATTCTGGATGCAACTTCATTTATATCATTTTTATGCCAAACTTTATTATCTCGTAGTGAAAACCGCTTCTGAACCAGTTCCAGCAAATCCAGCAAAATCGAGTGGAAAGTAAAGTATCAAATAAGTACATATCTCTAATAACTGGCTGGTTGGCATATTGGCCTGGAAAAATAATTTGAAAAGTTTTATCCAAACCATGTATTATTATTTTACTTGGTGGGCTGTATTTACGATCAGAATGTTGCGTCAAGGCCTGACCAGAGGAAACAGCGTATCGAGTTATGCTGTTAAAGAGAAAGGTGGAACTTATAAGAATTGCAGCATATTGATCAATACCACCATTCCGCTCAAGCCAGTTGCATGTTTGATGAATTATTAGCGATTACTAATAAGTTTTCCCCTGTACAGTTTAGGAAATAATGTGCAGAGTGGTGCTGGTGCACCAAAAATTTCAAATGCAGGTTGCAAATAAGTAGTTTCCTAAGCTCAAGCCACCATGATTACACATTACTGACGGACGACGAGGACTTGTATTCTAGAGACAAAAATCACTAGGTTAAGTGGGTCACCATAAATCATCATCACTCCCGTGAGTTGCTGCTGGTCTGGATTAGTGGAGACAGAGCCGGATGAATCGGATGGCATTTTTGATTAGCAGGACAAAAAAGCGTCAATTTACTTAAAAGCTGCAAATGTCAATGTTTAGTGCTGTTATTGAACATCCTCGCATTAAAAGGACATGGTTATTGATTTTTATGCCCAGAATTGTGTTATGCCCAATATTAAAAATGCTAAGCGAACGATATATAATACAAAAAGTACAATACTAGCATAAAAGTCAACTAGGTTTATTATTCTGCTCTTTAAAAGAGGAGGCAGCAGTAAATAAACGCGTCCTGCTCTGATTTGCCAGCTTTCTCCTGGATGAGATTCTCAGGATTTCCTATTGTCTCGATCATAACGCTAAAATAGTGATGGCACTTCATTCACGCCCACGTTTATGATGGACAAAACGGATACGAACAATGCCAGCGTATAAGTATTGGGTTTGTCCATTTGGCTACCAGAGTACAAAAAAATCAGGTTACTTAACCTGTTCAGAATGAATTCTACTCAATAAAATAAATCGTAATGTCAGATGCTTTAATTACGATTTGGACTTTCCATGTTCAGAGTGATATGCATGTAGACAGAGGTTGGACTATATATAGAAATATTTATATATTAATTTGAGCAGGGAATCAAAGGAGGGACGCGGTCAAGTGAAAAATCGAAAACTTATGAATACCTACATGAATGCGGTAATAGAACGAACACGGCAAGGATGACGGGATTTTCCTTTTCACCAGTATTAAATTTGATCCAAAGGTTTCAGAGAGCGGACGTCAGAGACTATTCGCAGCATGTAAGCATGATGTTGATAATCATGGTCTATCAATGGTGACCTTTGATTTTGCCTTGCTCGTTGCACCAGACCTAGTCCACTGATTCGTGAGATTTTGATTGAATTTCTAAAGGAAAGCAATCGCCTGGAACTGTGGAAATATGATCTCAATCATAGCAAATCCCTTTTGTGAACTAGTCCTGAAGGATTCCGTTCATTATCATCCCCAGCAGCAGCAGATATCCATTTAATCAACATGGGCTTCATCTGTTGACTGACTCGGGACCAATATGTTCACCAGATTTTTTCTAGCACTCATGTCACTGGCCGACATTTTTATTAATTTCGCTCAAGACCAGATCCTCTTTTTCGTCTTTATGCAATCCGAATTACATTTCTGCAACGGTTCATGCAGCACTAGGAAAAAAGATTTGAGCACACCGACCAACTTCAAACAGGATAGATCGGGTTTTGAGGAGAAGATTTTTGCAACAAGTACATAAGCATATCAAATTGAAACAACAGCAGAACCAGCAAGCAAACTCTGCGTATGTATATTATTGGAAATGTCTTAATTACAGCAACAGGACTGAAATATAGACATGTGTATACATACATACGTCTCAAACATGAATACCATTTCATTTACTTGAAAATACTCGTAAAAAAAGTTGAAACTAATGTACCTAGAATACGAAGCATGTACATATTTTGAGTACGACAAGAAGTTGATTTGATCCCCGTCATGCATGTTATTTAGCCCGAGATATAGGCTATCTCATGAAAGGAATGCTTCATATTTAAGAAAAGCTGCATCATAAATTTGTTATACGTACGTGTTAGTTCCGTATCTGCAATTGCAATACACTCGTCTCCTCTTTGCTCGTTGGGGTCAATGTGACGCGCGAGCACGATATTTACATTGGACCCCGACGACGACAATGTCATACTCCAGTTCTGACTGCTCATTAAATGTAGCCGTGTGACAAGATGAGATGGCAACAGGTCATTAAGTCGCTGTCTCTCGTGTTTCTGATTAATTTCTGAGTCGCTTTCTATACGAAACTTGCTGCCTTTGCGTTTGTTAATTACTTCGTCGTCGTCCAACAAAACACAAACTCGAGCGAGGCCATCGTATTTATTTACTATGCGATTGACTTTGTAGCAAAGGCGACGATGAGAGTCAAACAAATGGTTTATTTCTCGGTTCAGATACTTATTTGCCAACCTGAAAATACGTATTAAATCCTTTGCATTGTTTGCAAAGAGCTGAATGTCACAATGAATCACTTCCCGATTCCGTGATGACGAGATTACTTGGAGGAGATAGTAAACAGCAGCAGCAGTGGTGGAACAAGAGCGCAAAATTGTTTCGTTTCTTCCTTCCTCTCGTTAGCAGGAGGATGAGCATCGCATGCAATCGTATTCATTTGAACATCACTCAAATTGCTCGAGAGAAGATGAGGAGGAAGCAATCTGATGACGGTTGATTTTATAGTCATGGATGGCATGTATGTATAACTGGTAGAAGAACAAGCTACTACTTGTATATGCACAAGTCAGCAGAAACAAAAGCCCGAAATACCTGACAGTTTGACAAGACTTATTTGCCAACGTCATTTTATGAAAATGTTTACACACTTTGTTCCTCGTTCATGCTTGCTTTCCGAATAATTCGGGAAAACTAAGGTGAATCCCGTTTACAAGATATGAAGACAAAAAGTACCCGTAATCGTATCTTTAATTCATTATTTGTGTTGCGAAAAGTTAATTTTGCACAGGCTCATGAAGGCAGGAGTTGAATGTTTCATGTCGCCCCAAACCTTATTTTGCTGTTAAAAACTGCATGGGGCGATAAGGAAAAGAGATTTTGAGCAAGATAGCAATTTGTGAAATTCTATGGGGCGCAGAAATTTTGGTTGGAGCAACACAATTTATTTAGAGGATGTTAAAACTCTAGGTCATCAAAAAGTGAATTGTCAGATTTTTTCAGAACTCAGATTTTTGCCAGCAGCGCCTATAAGCAAGTAGGTGAAGCAGCTAGTTATCAGTATTTGTTGTCTGCTGGCGTGGTTTTCTGGTTTTCTCATGATCCACCTGGATTCCTCTTTAAAATATAAACTGCATGCTTGTGCCTCAAGCTGAACTAAAAATAAATAAAAAATCATTCTCATCTTACCTGGTGAATGGAGGAGTAACGCTGAGCTGGCAGTGCTGCTGGGAGAGATGTTCGTCTCATGTTGTTGCCGTGAAGTGAATGTCGATGAAAAGCACCCTTTTTTGTTGAAAATCCGTTATAAAACTGCTGCTGGTGAAAACTTTCTCCACCGTGAGCGTCACCACCATCAAACTTTTCTCTGGTCAATGGAATGGAATTGGAATAATAATAGTAAGAAGAATGATCATCATCATCGTCATTGTACTCTGAACAAGCGGCAGCAGTATCGTCCCTCCTCCCACCATAGCACGCCTTCTCGTCCTCCTCCTCCTCACAATCTCGTACAACAATCGTACTACTACTTTGGTCACGTTCACTGCACACGATTCCAGCAGGAACGTTCTTTGAAGATGAGGACGACGCGAGTATCACATTATCCCTCGTCTCATCTGGACTTGAGTCAAATGACCCCGGTTGTGACGCTGAGATCCCACCCACAAGAAGTGGTCTTCTCAGAAATCTGGGGATAGAAACTGAGGAAAAGTTTGTGTTTCCACTCCGTCTCCCTTGACGTTGTGGTTGTGATTGTGACGGTAAGGACCGAACAATAAGTTCTGAAGTAGTGTTGTCCTTCTTGTTCTCTTGTTGTATTCCACACAGTAGAAATTGTCCGAAGAAAAGTCCCAAGATTCCCAACAGGTGGGTCAACACTGGGAAACTTGACCAAACTAGAGAACCCAATCGTCGAACTGTGATAAAGTAGCAGAAGAGTGAAAGGGTCACTCGACACGAAGCGACAAGCAGGGCTTCTTCTTCTGGCGTTGTCGCAATTGACTGATCCAAAGTCCGAAGTAGTTGAGGAGGAGGTCTAAACTTTACGCCGCCGTGGTCGACGTTGACGTTGGGGTTTTCAAATGTCAAAGCTGTATTGAAATGAGTTCGATGGTGAAGATAGTTGAGGGCTTTGAGAACGATCCAGAGAAATAGGGCGTGGAGGAAAGTGTTATTATCGGACCAGAGGTCAACTAGGACGCCTGTCCAAAAGAGGGAAAAGAGTGGGCGATCTGTGACCGGGGGACCAAACTTTTTCCAGAAGTACCCCTGCGGAAGACGACTTCTCAACAGGTGGGGATGGTCAGCGTTGGTGGGGGCAGCAGACTGAAGATAAAGGTAGAACGAGAGACAAGCAGCGCTGCAGACCAGCGTGCAAGAAACACTGAGGGCGAATGAGGACCAGACCAACAACCGGACCGTTAAAAACTCTGCTTCTTGAGCGAAGCAGAAAGTTCCAATACAAAAATCTAGACACGAAATGAATATACTTTAATTTTCTCTGATGACCCAACGACTTTGCTTTACAAGGGAGGAATTTGACACAATGTGGATTTAGCTCAGGAGTAGGTTGCGATGTCGTCTCCTCTACTGTCGAGCAGACACTGCTTCTCAACCAGCAAAAACTCTGCTTCTCCGTTCGGAGAAGCAGAATTCAGCCAGCTAAACTGCTTGGCTTGAGCAACACAACCAGCACGGCAAGGTATAACAAGCTAGCGTTCGTGATGGTAACGCAACAAGCAAGGTGAGATGCTAAGCTAAACCAAAATATAAGCAGTTTTTAAACTAATCTACATACACGCAATACAATTCTCAATTAATTTGCAAGTTATTATCGCTTTCATATATTATCGCTTTCATATATTTCTTAATTCATAAACACTCTATAAGTTGTACCGTTCTTCTTGCATTCCTATTCTTTCTCATCTTGGTTTTCTTTCTGTCCTCGCTTATTTGCCCTCTTCCGTTTTTCGCTTTCCCTTCGTTTCTTCAACCTCGATTTCTTTTCCTCCTCACGCAAATTCGCCCTTCTCTGTCTTTGCTTTTCCCTTACTTTCTCCAACCTAACTTTCCTTGTCTGCCTGCTTTCATTCGCTATCCATCCCCAACAGCGACCTCATCCCCACCCACGTCACCCTCATCGCTCTGCGCCTAAAGGAACTTTGGCAGTCCAGGGGATGATGGCGGCGACGACGACGACGACGCCTATGCTACAACTACTACTTTCTCTTTCTGCTATGGTATACTATTTCTGCTGATTGGGTTGTAAAGCGCTATAAAAGTTAATAAAGTAAGAAACAGCGAGTTAGATTGTTAGTGAACTTACTGCTTTAAGCGCGGCTAAGCGGTCGTTGGTCATGATGGAGGTTGGATGATGAGGAGAAAGGAGGGAATGAGAATGAAGGAATAATTTCGAATTGCGAATTTCTCACCATAATCTCCACCACTGCTCTCTGCTTCACCACCACTGCTGGTAGGAGGACTGCTCGTATTACCAAAGGCAAGGAGGAGCAGTAGCACAAACGCGAAGAAAACCATTAAACTTCCAACCACTAGGACACGAACCAAGTCAAACTCTGACCGGGCGACACGGCCCCATGACGATAAAATCCTCTCCGTCGCCCAGTCCCACTCGTAAAACAGTTCTCGCCAAAATAGGTCCCTCTCACCACTAATCATCATCAACCTTCACGTCCGAAGGGTCCGAAGAAGGAGAAGAAAAAGGTACAGTTGATTGAGTAAGTCATTAAACGCTTAAAAAGTTTCCTAGCATGTACGACTAATAAGTTCCAATAATAATAAACTGTACGATGGTCAGATAAACATGCAACGGCGTCCATCCATGATGATAATAGGAGCGAGCAGTAGCATCATTTTGCATTCTGGGAAGACACGTCCAATTCAAATATCTGTCTCGCACAAAGGTTGACACTCATGCAGAGAGTTGCGTTGTTGCTGGATTTGCCCCGTCTTCCGGATGAATATTCCAGGCAGAGACACGTCGGATGGAAAGTTAACGGGACACGAGGTGGTTGTGACGAGGGCGCAAAAGCTAGCCGTCAAAAGGGCTGAAGTCGACTCACGAGTCTCACTTTCCCTTCTTCTCCTGTTGTGTGAATGGCAATTTGTCATCGCCAGATTTTGTCTCACGTCCAATTGCTCATCAACTCAACCCTCCACAACCGCGTCTTGATTGACATGCTATCTTCTTCCTTCCCACAGCGACGATAAGCCTTTGCGACGAATAACGACACATTCTGTGTACCATTTACTTTTAACAACCTTGCAAATCTATACACCAGGTATACTGGATTAAAATACTGGATTAAAATAATTCGCACTATGCCAAATATCAACCACTTGAGAGCGTCAGCGTTTCAGTTTCTACATTCGAACGTAAACTAACCATATAGTGAAATAAATAAACCTAGTGACCCACAAATTACGTCGAAAGGGGAGAAGAGAAGGAAGGATAGCACAACGCAATACTGACTGACACAAACCTCGGAAATGGACACCAAACAAAGATGGGAGTCGTTTTCTTCTTCTATTTCTTCGGATGATGAAACCATTTTCTTCGCATCTTGGCAGAATGTCGAAGGAAATAGTTTACGTAATAGAGTTAATGCTGTCCTTTACATATACATACGTACAACAGCGTGCAGCACGCATTCAGTCATATATTTTGGACCGTCGGTGCCGTCTATTCCTAGGTAATGGCAAGTAGCATGCAGTTCACCAGGAACACGGGACGGCGACGACGACGACGATGCTGCTGAATTTGGGTTGGCAGAACATTAACTATCAACCACTGATTTAACTTCGTTTACTAAACTGACAGGAAGCTCCGTGGAGAGTATTGTAGCAGCACAAGAACGAACGCTCTGTTCTTCCGACTCGTTCGTGTTCCTGACCAGTTTTAGGAGGTAGGAGTCTGTTCAATCACAGAAATCATTCGCCAGACGACGGTTCAGTTTTTGGCACCGAGTTTTTGTGTCCAATTGTATTTTCAAGTTTGTAGCACCCGACGTTGTGATTGATAACATTTCCTGCAACAATAATTTACACAAGGTTTTCAATTATGGTTCCAAAAAAAGATAATAATGACAAAAATTATGTTTCAAAACACCAGCAGCGACACTTTCCAGTAATACAAAAATATTTACGAGTCATGTAATCTCACATTGTATACTTTATGTAAACTTTTTTTTCATTTGATCCATTTATCATCTGCCCTGTCATAAAAATATGCCAAGACACCAACCAAATTGCATGCCTACTATGCAATTGCATAATAAAATTGAACTGCGGATTGCCTGAAATACCTGCGTTGTACTTTTGTAGCTGTAATAATGAGAAGACAATAACAAGACGATCTATCATGAAAACAGAGACTCGCAAGAAATTGAGAATAAGTAGAGTTTCAAGGTTGACTGGATAATCCCAAGTTCCACGTCAATCTGTCCAATTTTCTACTGTCGTCTTTTTACCAGTGGATTATTATTGGTTCACACTGATTGTTGTACAGTGCATATGTATTTTTATAAATTTATTATTCCCATCAAACCAAGCAACGGGGGTTGCTTAATAAGGATAAATATGTAGCATAACTTTAATAACACAATTATGTAAAGGTTTGTCCTACTCTTTACGCAATGAAGTATTAAGTATTTAGGAGCATAAATTACATCAAAATATTAATTTTCCAAGAGCTGAGGATTTTCTAAGAGGACTAAATTTATTGCCAGTGTTGTCATCATCACCATGTTCATACATACATCGCTATGTACATACATTTGCACACTTGGGAAGAAACATCGCAAACTTTAAACATAATCCTTTAACACACATAAACTGTAAAAGTACAACTCCTGCAGATCTGATAACGATGGTAATTATCACTTCAAACTCCACACTGCGAGAGAACGTGTGCTATAATGTGGTGTGTAATGAAGCAGATTTTTTTAAAGTACCGGCGTGATTATTATATTTGTCGTTGGTTATGTAAGGATTAAACACTCTTCTTCTCCTGCGAACGTTCAATGACACTGCCAAATTGGAGGTACGCCATAATTAATGGCACTATGCTGTTGGAACAAAGTTAAAGTGCTATATCATGCTTTTAAATGCAAGGCTAATGCCAATATTTATCCTCGACAATTCACAAATGCCAATTAGTGGTATTATGAAGAACACGGTATTGTATCGTGTTAGCAAAATCAACACCACTTTACTTTACCCCTGTAGTATTTTGCTGGCTGGATGAGCTGTTTAAATAAAATCTGTTCTGTGTATATGCTAAAATTATATTTGGGTTTGAAACAAATGCTCATTCCGAACGAATGATTCATTTCTCTTGACAAGGATAATTTATGATTCCTGAATGACAATGGTAATAATATTATGTTGTAAAATATAGAAGAAAAATACAATGAAAGTGAGAAACAGCGTAAGATTTTTCGCTAAAGAATTCAATAAACACTTCAACACAGTGCATATATAACTTCCGGATCCGGCCATGTCATACAAAATCTGTGTAATTAAATATACGTACGTTATTAGCAACTCATATCAAAATCGCCAAGTTAGAGATAGAAATGTGGAGAAATACCTCAATCTCAAATTACCAAAGTTCACACTGCCGTACGTACGTATGAATAAGTAAATCATTCGTCCCACTGACTCACCGGGAGGAAATTATGCAACAGTGAACACGTAACAATAATCAAGTGAAATGTAAATAGTTGATTTCATCCCACTTTCAGTTGCTTGTTCGTTCGTGTTGTTTCGATTTTTGGGGAACCGATGCGTTTCTCTGTGGATGCATGGGTGTATTTACCCTCCAGCGGAAACCAGCACCACCGTCATAAGTGCTATACGGCTAAAAAGTGCTTGGAAATGATTGTAAATTCTAATGCGGGTCCCACATCAAGTTGACTCCCAACTCTCGTCGTCGTCATCGCCGTTGTCGCCGTTGTTGTTAGAGTGCGATTTGCATTCCTTTGTCGTCACACTGCGCCATGGTCCACTTCCTTCCTTCTTTGTGTCCTGCTTTCACTTATTAAATAGAGAGACACGCCACGGCCATCCCCCATATTTTGAACCCTTTCCTCCTCGGGTTAATCATTTTCAATGTGAGACTCCGAGTGAGACACACAGTTTAGAAGGGCAATTTCCTTTCAATCCTTCATTTTTTCATCAGAGATGACATCTCAACCCTTTCGGCGAGAAGGAATACGGGCGGTTGTCACTTTTGCCACTCACTTCTGGGAAATAGAGCCATGTTCAGAATGTGATAGGCGGCCGACAGAATAATTTTGTCTTGTACTTTTACCATGAAAATCTTTATATGAATTTATAAGATTCGTATCAGTCCCCTGGAGTTGTCAAATCATTACAATAGCCTCACATAAGAGTACAGCTCACGTACAATGGGATGAGTTTGGGTATGAATCAAAGTGCGTCATGCATAACACTACTGAATTTAAAGCCGAATTGTTCAAATTTTCTCTTGGAAAGTATGAATTTTTATGTGCAAAAAATATTGTATGTATCATATTCGGAAGATTTCTTGCACCCCAAAAGATTTGCAAATTGTATGACATGTAAATTTATTTCTACTTTCACACAATCAAATGTAGATTGCAAATCCACTTCCACATCAGAAGTGACAACGTCGGCTTTCCGAATGCAAATCCAAGGTTTTCCCTGCCTCAACTAATCCTCAGAGGAAATAGGAAATGGAAACAAAATGAAATGTGATTCAACTCAATTCGCAGATTTGTTTCGTCTCCGTATTCACTTTATACCTGCCTATGCACCCGAATTTAGTGTATGTAGGAAAGCCACAAAGACGAGACTTCCATACATTGAAAATGGTGAAACAAGCGAACTATTTCGCCAAAAGTAATACACAGCTTCCGACCGGCTCGTGAATTCTATGTATGTCAACATTTTTATATAAACAAATGACCGCAGGACGCAGGGATGGGATGAAGGACAGTCATCCCATCACTATCTATTATTCTTTGAGATTTTGAATTACATGCAACCATTTCTAGCGCAGCAATCCAGTAAATGGCGTTACCTCTGCTCAATCAAACTGGAAATGCATCTATTAAAGCTAGCATCGTGAATGGATGTTAAGATAACAGTAAATTAAAATGCACAGGAATCAGTGGTGAATTTTAGATGTGAATTCACAATCTGCAGATTCACGGCTTTCAGGATAGGAAAGCTGTGATTTCACAGCTCTGCAAAAATTGATTTTCAGAGCTGTGAATTGCAGCTAAATAATTCCTAGACTGGCAGTGTGGAATATCTTTAGATAAAGACTATAGTCTTAATCTTAATAATCAGCAATCTTAAATACTAACCAACTTTTATACTTATAAACATAAAGGCTATTTTCATCAATTGTGATATGAATTAGTTTGTCAATTCGTTAAGACTCAAACACTTTTGTACAAATGAACCATATAAATTCTGCTCTCTTCTATGTAAAGCTAACACGCATGCATAAAAAACCGCATGCATACTTGCTCCTTGCTGGTTGCAAGTAGCATGCACGGTAAGTAACATGCTTCCTATATGTTTATTTAGTACATGTTTATTTTTACAGACGGGGAACTCGACATTTTTCTTACTTTTTATCCGCAAACAACCCGCAAATCCAAGCCTGCTTTAACTTTCCCTTCTACTACTTTTACGATTAGCCAGGGTAACTGCGTTAGCGAAATTGTATTTTCGCAGTCTACAATGCAATAATGGAAACTTGAAGCATTACTCACTACTGCAATGTTGAGTCACCAGGAATACATTTCTTATCGCCCTCGCACCACTTGCTGGTCCCGTTTGTGGACTCTGAATACAAACAACAGCGCAACGGAAAAGAAATTCCTTCCATTCACGCGACTTGATAAATCATATGCATCCACACGATAATAAAAACCGTGGGGAAAGACGCACACCACACGCATCTCACCGATTTACAGGGCATGCATGATGCAGGTGAGCTTTTAGGCGGTGTGGGAGCAGGTGAGATATATAAATTCGGGTCTCACTTTTTCCACCCCAACCACACAAATCCCTTTCACTTTCTCCATAAGACCGTGCTACACACACAACACTCAACTTGACGCAGCACTAGTCTCACATTTCTGTTCAGAGGGGGAGATCATGAGTAAACAACTGCTGGTCATGGGAGCGACTAGATTAGAGTGACCGAATCAATACTTACTCCAATCCAAGCGCTCAAATTGTTGACAAATTTTTAACCCAGGCTTATTCACGTGGTGTTGTATGGCGACTTATTGTTATATTTAGATCACGCCAAGGACTTTGGGTAAGGAAATGTCTGAGAAAAGCAAAGCCGCATAGAAGGCGTCAATTTACACTAAGCCGTGATTTCCGATTCTTCTTGAGTTGGCCAAAATTTCTCCACTTTCACTGACTTCCAGAAGATGACTGTATGCCGAAGTCATGTTCTAGTGCCCGGACCACCACAGAGAACAAAAAGCCGGGTTTCTCTTTCCCATACATACAACGGCTTTCATTACAAGGAAAGAGAGGAAAGTCGTAGGAAGATGGGAGACTCGAAGAGAAAGTACTTTTTGAGGGGAGCAAGTAAACCGTAAACTTGTATTAACTCCCTTGCGGAACTTTTACAGGGACCGGAAGATTGTTGGGCTTTCTAGTCTAGTTTTATGGCCAGATAGTCGAATTCCTTACAGGCAGACATGAATAACAAGGAAAGAGGCAGGCGTGTTGTTGTGTAGCAAATATCTACCGCACAAGTTTCCAAAGTTTATAAGCAGACAACCTTCTTGCATAGATACATACGCATGAGAGTCGTCAGATTTAATAATACAAGGAGAGGATTCAACTCATGTTTTTACGATAAGTTATGGCAATGATGCAACTTGGGAGACAGATAAAAAGATATAATCCTTGTTGGCTACCATTGCGCTGAAAGTTGTGAATTCCTGCAAGAGGATTGCTCATAACTTTCTTTCAGTAGTTCAACCCCGCTAGAGGAACACGTCACACGAGAGGACACAGTCTTTTCGTGGTCAGTACATTCCTCAGGGGCTCGATTTGACCCCTAGCCCTGCTTCTTAAAAGGAGACAAATTGTTGAGATGCGGAGTCGACCCCCCTCTGATGAGTAATCATAATGCTCAAAGTCGGATGGAAAGATGGAAGAATTTGTGTGTTTGGCTTTGGGGCTAAAAAAGATACGGGGAGAAGCAGTACGAGACAGATGAGACGTATTAAACGAGGTCTGTGGCTGTACGAGGAGAAAGAGTGTGGCCTAGATCTCCTCGCCATTCCATGGAAAGAGATGAGATTGCCGTTGCTGCCAGAGCACATAGATAGTTAGCCAGGCCATCTGAATAAATTGACGGAATAGTCAATCTGCAATGCTCAGGAGGAGGAGGCCACTGCCTTTTACTCACAGATTTTGATGCTTTTTGGATTTGTAGTAAGTAGTGTTCCATGCGTCTATTAAAACCCGGAGTGGTTTGATGCTATGGCCCCATTTTCGCCAACCAAACGTCCTCAAAGGGGCAAAATCCACCAAAATCATTACCTTCAATGCCTCGCCAAAAATCCGCTCGGATTTTGCAAATTCTTGGACCATTGTGATCCCCGAGAGTTGCTTTATTAAATTCAATTGCTATGAATTTTTTAATATTTGCGAAAGTTACCTGAATTCCCTTTCTTCGAAAGAACCAAAATTTCAAAAAAGTTAAATTTGATATTAGAGATGATAAAGCAACTACTTATGTATGACCACAATGATGCACGAATTTTCAAAATCCGAATAAAATTGGATTTTTAGCGAAGGTCTAAATGAGCAAAAACAGATCTTTTTTTTAGGTTTTTCACCCTTTGAGTGGGTATGGCAGACGCAAATATGGCATAGAATCAAAGTACTTCGCGATTTTAGTCATTTAAATATCCAAAGGGCATCCAAATCTGGCAGTGAAAGGTAGAGGTCCACTCCTTCTCAGAGCTGTACATAAAATGGGATTAAGTTAGTTTGTTCCTTTCTCTCTTTCTTTCTCAGAGCGAGACAACTGGTGCTGGCATCACTAACAAGTGCACGAATGGTTCTCAGGGCAAAGTTATCCTGCTGCTTTATGCTTTCTCTCCAAAGGAAAGGGAGTGCACCCTTAAGTGAAGTTGGTCTCTCGCTAAACGAATGATGACCCATGTTCATAATTTTAAGAATGATTTGTACACGAGAGAAACTTGGGGGACGTAACCGTGACCTTTTGCAGGTTTCCCGACAGCCAAAGTTTCATTGGAACTTGGTCGGTTGGTGAAAGTCAAAAAGAGTTGAAAGAACTTCAAAGCCGTGCTCTGTGGTGGAGGATGACGTTACAATGAAATGTGGCTGGCTTGGAATTCTGGAGACATTGCAATATTATAAACCGAAAGGCAGAATACCCGGAAAACACCGTCATACTTATTGTATATTTATACGTATGTATGTATCTAGTCATGTTTGATTCTGGCAAAACAGCCAAGGTGGTGGTGCTTCTTTGTATAATTTTGCATCTTAGAAAATTTAACACTACAACAAAAAACGTTGTCAAAAACGCCTTGTGTATTCTAATAAACAGGGCTAAATAATGCCGTTTATGACTTCTTGTTAAATTTATGTACGTGTGTGTGTTTAGTTCAATAAACAGAATCCCACCTTTCAAATTTTCAGGCTTCGATTTTAAAACTTTTTTATTCGACAGTCTCCCATTCTCATTGCAATGTTACAAACAGGCTTGGCTTAACACAGTCTGTCAGTTGTATCTTATAAAAGATGAAACATTTTCATGTAGCAAGATCAGGAATGGGTAACAATTGAGAATTACATTTCACATCGAAATCAGTCGCAGCACAAACTGGTGGCATTTTGCGACTATTTTTTACTTAAAAGTTATTATCAATTAATGGCATTGACAGATAATTTGCAATAATGCACAATTCATGTGCATTTATAATTCATTTACTGTTGCCATTATAACAATTGTTGTTCCTCCGTCATAAATTATCAATGATGAACAATGAACGAAGTACGCAAATACGATTTTTGATACGCACACAATATCTAAGAGTTCTAGGTGTTAGAGAGAACATAATATTTGCGGACGTTGTAACATCTCATTCAGTCCATTGATATACTTGTTGTTGCACGCCGTATAAATCATTATTATTTTTAAAACATAAGACCCTTCCTTCTGGTGGAAGGCGAATGATGTTCAAAAAACAGATTTGAAATAACAAGGAAATAACAGAAAATATGGGAAATAACAATGATTCAAATTCATAAAAAGGTTCGATTGAAGAAGAACAATTGTACACAAATATGAGAAAGAATCATCATTATGATAAATTGTAAATTATTTGGTGGCCGTACAGAAACAATATGCTAATTGAAAACAAACGAGACAAACAAAATTGAAACATGGATGACAATTGTAAAATTAAACTTGTGACATAATAACAATAATTTATATATTGTTTGTTTTTTAATTATTGACTAAAACATTAACAGCGTCACCCGCCGTTTACTATCGTGTGAATCTAAAATGATGCACTATACTCGCAATGAATAATAATGACGTTTTTATCAAAAATTATTTGATTTGGATTATACAATTTTTATAAATTGATAAACAAGTTGGTTGATGCATTATATTTTGCTCTACATTTCTTGGATTGAGATTAAGTGAGATTGCCAGGTAAAACAAATACCTACTCCAATTTTGATACTGTTGAATTTAGAATTTGGGAAGAGCACAAATAAATTTAATTGAGTGATCGAATATGGCGTTTTTCGCTAGTATCACTTCTTTTGTGAATACGAGTACGATCCCCACGATGATGATGACGTTGATTCAGATTGGTTGTTGTTCCAAATGTTCGATGTAAATGGGTTAAATCCAAGACCAGCCTGCGAAGTAGGAATATTTTAATTATTTATACCAGTTCAAATCATCAACTAAGTAAATAATAAAACTTCAGTCATCTAAGGGTAAGGTATGACTCGCATATACAGAGTCAGAGGAATTTGTACGCATAGTAGATTTAGTAGATTACCTCAACTTCCCGAGTTATGTCTTCAGTGGGTGTTCGAATGCTTCCATCTCCAATTGGAATATTCGAGTCATCTCGAGCAGTTGCAGACAGTCGCAAACGTGCTGCAGGTCCAATAGCCATGGATTTATTTACTGATGCAGTTTGTGCGATCGTGGTCGGAGTATCGTAAGCGGATGGCCACCTGCCAGGTCCACCTACATTGGATGAGTCCCAGATCTGGGATTCAATTGTCAAGGGTCCAGCAGCTCCCAAACCTTTCCAATCCTGATGGTATCCTGGTGGATCTGTACTTGCCACAGACGTTGGCTGTAGTGGTGGTGGTTGTGCCGTTGGAAGCCATGTATTCCTTTCTCTTTCTTCTGTCTCACGTCTCTTCAATTCATTGTCAGCAAAGACTGCTCCAATCCAAGGAGCTGCATAAAAGTAATTCGTAATTCATAAAGTCATGATCAATTTTATGTTGTATTATACATATAGTTACAGAATAAATATTGACTCACGTCGTGTTGAGGATGGTGGGCTGGGTTGTTGTGAATGCGACCTTATGGTAGGGTCTGACCTCATTCTTTGAAGGTAACCATGATTGGAGTGAGTAGTGATTGGTGGGATTTGGTTTACATAACCTTGATGTGATCGGTACTGAGTTGATGTTTCGTTGAAAGATGGAGGACTAATCTGATTCCGGTTGTTGTTGGTATTATTAGCGAACACACCAGTATTTGCAAACAAGTACGAAGACTCAGCTGGCGATCTTTGCTGTTCAAAGTTCTTAGAAACGTCACTACCAGGAATCATTCCGTTCCCACTAGCAGATGAATAGTTGATCGTTTGTGACATTCTAGTGGGAGGGGTGTAAGCAAAATGATTTTCTGAGGTTGTGGGACAGAAAGGGAGTCCACTCGAAGCTGAATTGTTGATGTTATAGCCGTAAGGTGCATCTGAAGAAAATCCCATGTTTGGTTGTTGCGTAAACTTGTTCTCGTGAGGACTGTTGTAATAATTTGTTGAAGCGGGTGGCGTATCAATACTTCGGCGACTCCACATGTCTGCATTTCCAGTATGAATATCGTTGTCCCAAATCGAGCCTATAAAACCACAACACATTATTATATTATTCCAAATTACACAACAATTTTCAGTATTTAAATCAATATGAATGATTTGTGAAATTTACTGTTAGGAGCAATGGCAGGGGCCCTTGGAGGAACGATGTTGTGCGGATAGTGTGTCTGTTGATAATTGTAATCCGGGTTTGGCGGCAGTGTCGATGACATCGAATGGGAATGAGATCCAAAATTTCCATGGGGCAGTCCTGCTGACCTAGGTTGACCAATAACACCGGCTGGTTTTCTGGAGCTGGAGGAGCCGCGTTGTTGTGAATTTGATCCATATGACGGTATTGGATGAGTTTGAAAGTAGCTCATTGAATTTCTGGGATTGTTGACATTCATGAAATTTCCATCAACAGCCAATCCAGTTCCATCACCACCAGACACGGTACGTTTCTTTGGACGTTGTAACACAAATACCTCGGTCTGTGCAGCAAGTTCACTCAGACCTTCCCCACTCGGTGGGCGTGGGGTATCCCAAAGTGACCCAATTTCCGGTTTCGGAGTAGAATTGCCAGACTTGCTTTGATAAGACGACGTTGCACTGTAATCCGACGCAGAATCCTTCTTTTTTGTATAAACCTTTTTGGCATCATGAGATCGATCGGTAAAGGATTCCGAAATATTTGAAATGTTTTCGTTAGAACTCGATTCATTGTTCTTTTCTACCCTTTTCGCATTTTTAACCTTTGCACCTTTGGTATTGGCTGTTTTTTCGGTAATTTTTGGCTCCGCTTCTGAGTATTGTACAATGTCGTCAGGATTGGAGCTTTCAGTTGTCGTTGAGCTGGTTTCCTCTTCTGTCTTCTTACCTTGCACAACTGGATTGAACGTGTCAATTTTGTTTTGCATTTTCTTATTGACTTTTCCATTGACTTGTTGCTGGCCCTTGTTCCCTTTCTTTTTCTTATTGACATTATTCTCCTTCTTTGTACCCAAGTTCATGTAGGTAGCTGCAACTTCCTCAACAATGTTGGTACTAATACGCTGTACAACAATATTATGATTTGTTTTATCCGTTAGTCGGTTGTTGGTGGTCGCAGTTTGAGAAGCAACGTTCAGATCATTTCCAGCCTTCTTGCCTTTTCTATTTCTAATGCTTGGAGCTTGAGACAACTCGCCTAGTTTAATATTCGTCTGACTTTTGGATTGAGTAGAAGGCAGTCCTTTCTGAGCATCAGCCTGATTTTTTCTGAAGCGGTTCTCCACCTTGTCGTACACAGCCTTAAGATCCAAACGTTGAGGTTGCTCTCTCTCCTCCGGTACCGGAATGTCATCAGGAGGCTCTCTTGGTAAAACGCGCACGGTTGCAAGAACAGTATTTGCGATCACTTTACGGGCCTCAAAGTAGCCGAGGAAGCACCCCATAAGTATCATGGTTGAACCACCTCCAATTACCGTCGCCTTTAAATACCATTCCCACCAAGGGCGAGGAATAGCAGAGGCACACTTTGCGAGCATATTTGTTGGGATGAGAGCCACCAATGTGTAGTTGAAAGCCTGTATGCAAAAAAACAAGGTAAAACGTACATATCCAGAAGCGACATTTTGTAAAATATGTAATTTGTATTACAAGTAAACTTACGTTTCCAACAGTGTCGATAAGAAGTAGGGCGGAAAGAACTTTAGATAGAGTAAAGTCTGGAGTAAAAGCAATATCAATTGAATGCGTTTGATTTGGCTGCAGTAGAAATGGGTGACAGTTCAAAATTCGAAATCCATAGCCTTCGCACGCATCTCCATCATAGCTTGTCCATCCCATTACCCAAGTCCACAAAGAAACCTGCGGTGGGTATATCATCATTTTCGTGACTTCTAATGGAATTTCCCCAATATTTCTAGCGACGAAAGATCTGCGAACGGTTATTTGTGGCGAAATGTATGATAAGGCAGAGTCCACTGTGAACAGAATGTTTAAATATAATTTCAGTAATTAATAACAAGATATAATATACGAAAGAAAATATTAAAATTAACAATGTTAACTATTAAATATAATGCTCACGAACCTTCTTTATCGCACCCTTGCAGTAACCCCTCGGTGAGTTGAAACATTAAGGATGACCCAGGTGTTCCATTACCGACGGTGAGCTGTCCAGTACCTGCCCGTCCTTTCAACATTACGACCTCAATACCAGTGAGATTATTTCGCAAAAGGAGCAAGGAATTGGCCATTTCCTTTGAGACTGGGGCAAATCTAATAGTCAATGCAAGTTTACTCGTTGGGGGAAGTATAAATAACAATCCTGGCATAAGCTCCTTGAATTCTGGGTTGTGTTTCTGAAATATTTTCTTCACATCGACAATCCCACTCCCGTTGAACTGACTAGAAGGCCATGAGACATCTTTTACAGAAAATGCTAAATCGTCAATCATAAGGAAATCGTTAGTTATGATGATAATACTTAAAATGGCAGTAAACTTAAAATAAAAACAATGCGTACCAGATCCCCCTTCAGTAATATTTCCCCCGACAAAATTATCATGGAGAAAGTTGGTCCATGATGGACCATAACCTTCCGCCATGGCAGCTTGAAAAACCACTGGCACATTTGATGGATTACTGATGACGACATCAACAAAAGTCTCATTTCCAAGTGATGTTAGAGGGAACAAAATGGTTTTCTGAGTTGATACTCGTGGCCACATATATCGGGTTTGTGCTTTGATTTTGAATCCTGAAGGACCATTCGTGTCAACCCACAAGGACATATTCGAAACTATAAAAAAGCCAGTGATATTAATTAATGAATTTTATCATATGTACAAAATAAGTACAAATACTTACCAATTTCGTCTTTGATTTGATTAAATCGAGCTTGCAGCGTTTCTAAAATCCTCAAATCAATTTCTCCAGTTTCCCAATTTAAAATGGCACCTCGCATCCAATCTTTACCGACTGAAACAATACAATTGGATATCAAGATTATTGTCATCAACCAGTCGAGATTTAGACGTTATATATGTACAACTAAGTAAATATTACATTTGGATTCTAGGGAAAATCCAGCATAGCACTCCTGATTACAAAACTTCCTAGGATCAAAGTGAACTTTTCCAACCAAACTTTTTCGATGAGGTTCGGGGGGGATTTCTGGGTGGTTTTGAAGTGTGGAAGCAGAAAACCAAACGGCCGATGGTGGATGGGATCTCAGACCAACAAATTTCAGTGTGTGGTTAAAAGTAGAGCTCAGGTATAACTTCTCAAACGAAATTTTTCCCTAAAAAAATATTAATTTTCAAGTTTCAGCAGCAGTTTAGATTGAAATAAAATGTTTAAATAAACTCACGGGAAATGCTTTATCAAAAAATATTGTTTCAGACGACAGGGACCCTCTTGATACAGTAAATTTAAACGGGGATCGAAGGGTTTGATTTTGATCTGTGATGACATAGGATTCTCCATAAAACATTCCTTCTACGGTCGGTCGTCTAATATCTACAGAAAAGACTGCCATGTGTCCAGGTTGCAGAAATAGCTGGACAAAAAGGGCCACCATTAAATCATTTCATTTCATTACTTAATTAAATTGATGCAATATAATAATTAAATCTGAATGCAGTGTTTACCGATTTCTTCAAATTGTCGAAATCACGAATTCTGGGCAAATCTTCCATGACTCCTTTCTGCATTCCGACCAGTTCCACTTGACTAAAAGACGAATTTGACCCCCAAGATTTCAACCGAACTTCTACTGGATTTTTGTTCTGTACGGCAATATATTCAGTATATGTGGAATAAAGTTCCACCCTACCAAAGTCTAGTTTGCCACTCTCAACCGAAAACTGTAAGCCATAAATATAAAGAAATGATTCAAGGTCCGCTGTAATTGATACAAATTGTAATTTGCAGGAACAAATAAGGCACATACCAGCTGCAACTTTCCATCATAGCAAGTAATGGGCAACTTTAAATTTGTAATGTTGCTCTTGACAGTCAGCTGCACTGGTGACTTGGAATCACAGAGTTCAAATTTCTTTTGGACTTTGAGAGTACAAATTGTCTTTTGTTCTCCTGGAATTATCACATGTGACTGATTAAAGGTTTCCACTTCAATGATATCCGGATAGTTTACGGTGATTTGGTAAATAGCGACCGCGGAAGAAAATGTGTTCTTAATGCTGAAAATGAACCAGCAATCAAACATTATTCACTACCAATTACTACTTTTATCCAATTTTTTTTAAGTAAAGTCATTTTTATCGGCCGGCTTACCTAAAGTTTCGTGGTTGACTATTTTCTCCTTTGTCAAAAAAACCCAGCGAGGAGGAGTTATATTCTAACTCCCCTTCCAAGACGCTTGCTATAAATGGGATCTTAATCGATTTTTCACATTCGCTCCGTACCTCAATAAACCCGTTTGACTGAGATGGGTTGTCCAGTAGAGACGCTAATCAAATTATAATGTTACTCACAATTTTGACATTGTCAACTCGGTAATGATTGATTAATTAATAGTGAAGTGAATTACGATCAAAAGTTATTAGTGCAATAACGGTCGAAGCGGAAGAGTCGGGTTCAATAAATACCGGGCGAAATTCAATGCGAATTGCATGATTGGATTCACCTTTGACAGTCACGGACTAAAATCACATCATAAGATATAGTTAATAATTAAAATCTATCGTTATCAATATCAAAAAATATTAATATGTAGCAAACTAATACCTGAATATTGACAGGGTTTGGTTGAGCGTTGATAAGAATCAATGATAGTGTTTTTGGCTTATCAGTTCGAACAAGAAGGCCAAAATCCAATGACTCTTGAGGACAGTAAATTCCCGGAGAAGAACTAACTTGAACTTCAACAGGAACCATCAAGTACTCCCCAGAAATAGTCGTATGATTGACTTTGATCCTGTGAAGGAAATCATAAAGTGTCAATTCTATCCATTTTAACAATAATTTTAATAATAATGCATAAATATACCTGATAAACCCAGTATGATTCCCTTCTATCTTTCCTTGAAAACTCCCTTGCATCACTGATTTTGTTTGGAACGGTTCTATGGCCCACGCAGTGCCTTGTTCTTGATCACCCATGTCATCAGGCAGCTTCAAACTGAAATCAGTGCCACTTGAAAGCATCTCAACGACAAGGATGCGTGTGTCGTGAGGATTGTGTAGTGTGATGATGGGTTCATAACTGGCATTCACAGGAATTTTAGCTCCGACCAAGGGTCTTAGCCGATAAGGGTTGGGTAAGCCCACTCCCTTAACCTGAAATAAATGATAATTTATTACAGCACAAACTTGTAATGTAAAAGCAATCTATTATCTTGATATACATAAATATAGATATAAATAATTGACATTACTAACATGATACTTAAACAGTCCTTTCGAAGTGTGAACAAACAAGGCTGAGTCAAACTGACCCTCCTCTCGACTTAAAAATACTACTTCGAAAAAGGTAGAATTGCCAGGACCAATTATCTGAAAGTGTAGTAAAAATAATATGCACATAGATAACTTTTTTACAAGAAAAATAACTACTTTTCTATAAAAAATTACCTTGTCGGCAAAGAACGATGAGTGGAAATTTACGGTATTTCCGGAAATAGAGATCAACTTTACAGTTTCACTTTTCAGTCTATTATCGATTCGCACTATCCCCAAGCGGGCCATACCCACCGGGCTGAAATAGAAAGAAGACAAATGAAATACGACTAATCAAATCTATTGAATCAAAATTTTAAATTCTGAACAATAAATAATACCTTTCATGAAAATCATAAGCTGATGGATGAAAAGAAACTACATCGCTTTCAAATTCGTTGTCTGCTGAGCTGGAATCTGAAATACTAAGAATAAAAAAAATATTAGTTATAGACTACACAAATTGCTTGTTGGTAATGATTTAACAAGTTTACTGTATTGGATCTGATGGGTATGAGCCTCCCACAAGAAGTCGTAGTTCATCCTCCTCGTACTCCAATTCTAAATGTGCATAATAATAGTAAATTCAAACAATTTGCTATATTATTTATGAAAGGATCAAGGTGTAAAGAAATAGTAAATTTGTACTTTCACAGTTGCAATAATTTTACCTGATATAGGATGATCCAATGCCAGACAACCGATTTGCAATATTAATGCAATCAGAAACACACGATTCAGCGATGTCATTTTTGTTGAGTGGTAATCGCTGACACATGTAAGACGGGTTTTGCCTCTAAAAAAACACAAACAAGTTAATATTAGTTAATTTTGCTCACAAACTTACTTATTCATGCAAAAAATGTGATTCTTTTGTGCTTTAAGTTTTTTAGACAAATCAATGACCGACAGTGCTAAATTAAACGCACATTTGTAATTTTCATCATCTCATCTCAACTATCATGCGCCTATACATATGTAATCAACTGTCATAAAAATAAAGTAAGTGTTATACTGTTATCACTGAAATTGGATAACGCATTCTAACACACGATAGTGTATGCAATATGAATGTCTCTCACATCAGGTAAATTTAAGATATGCTCAACCTAGGCAATCAACAGTCAGTTGCACAAGTTGCAATATATAATATCCCGCATCAAGTTCAATTAAAATAATATTAACCGCTTTATCTTTATTGCAAAATACTGTAAGTTAAACCTCAGCACCATTTAGTTTTGTCTAAATACTACATGGCAAATAATATCCAACTAAACACCTCAAGTATATGTACATACGTATTAGAATCAAAGCCACTACGTATTTAGATACCTATGTACGAAGTTAGAGTTTTCGAAACAATATAAACTCACGATAATAATATCATGAACGAAAAATAAGAATGAAACAATTCTTGAGAAATTTGAATCCCTGGAACTAGCCATTAAATCGTATTTACTGCGCAAATTCTATGCAAGTACTTGTTAGCCAAAACAAAGGTTAAGTACTTAACTTCCTGGTGTAACAATAAAGCTATTTTGCACGGATAATATATTCCATTATGCACTCCTACGTAGTATTTTATGACAAAGCGCTAATAATCCAATAAATATGCAGAAATTTATTGAATTATTTGGATAGTTCTTAAAGTACCGTTCTTGTTGAATCATGAAGGAGTAGAAGATTTTCATACCTTACCACTCACCAACATATAAAATGAAAAATATAAGCCACTTACCAATTCCGATAGCATGAAATCCCGTCTCCAAAAAACGGCGGATTGAATTACACTTGAATTTTACTCCTGGAATAGACAACAACAATAACAATGAATATAATTACAAATTAGAACACGGCTATATTTGATTGATAATCCTAACTTATAATAATTCATAATCAATCAGAGTACGAATCATTATTAAGCATTTGCAAATTGCACAAACACGTATCAAACAGCAAATTGTTTGGACATGACAACAAACGTCAATATTGAAGTACAACTGTGCAAACTTTAAGGATTAAATTTAAATTTAGTAAATACTCAAATTTTTAGAAATGGCAAGACTAAAGTTATGCCCAGTTATGTCAAGGACTACAATAGTAAAGATAATACATTTGTATATATTGATAAATCAATGCGAAATATATCAATTAGAAACACTGAATTGAGCTCCCCAAACACATTCACACAAATCCTTAATGAACAAATCAGAAAAGAACAAACCAATCGAGAGTAAGGTTGATAACTTTGCAAAACTTAAAAAAATAAATGTTATTTATGTTTTCTTCTTGGGCGATGATGATACAACAGATGACTGGTTTATAGCAGGAGAACAAATACGAATATGGCAATGAGTTTAAAAAATTGCATTGTTTTCTACTTAACAATGCAGTCAACCTTTCAAAACGAAAACAATTTCTTAATTTCACTCACTTCTCAGTTTCCGAGCAAGGTCGTCGTATTTTACAATACACAGTTATCAAAAGGATGAGTGGATGATGAACAAAGTAATGTGAGTTTCTCTATTAATTGTCCGGAACAGTTAAGTTTCGCTAAAGTTGTTATTATTGGATTACTTCACCCTTTGGAATTATTATTATTACATTTGGCGAAATATTACTATTTTGAGTTAACAGCAGCAGTGAAGTGACTGATGTCAGATGATGAAGAAGCAGCAAAGGCAGGGAGTAATAAAGTCACGGAGCACGTTATTTGTATTTTTATGTTTGTTGCACATTCATTAAAAGCCACGGAGAATTTGCACAGTAGAAACCTCACCGAGGAGGAAGGAGCGGGATGAGTGAGCCTAATAATTGTTAATCTTCTTTTTGTACTGTACTCTCATCGATGAGCACGGAAAAACTAATATTATATGAGACCAGAGGAGGCCTGTTGGACTGGACTGCTACCTCTCCACCACCATCACCACCACCACCACCACATACCATATCCAGCAGCAACCTTAGCACCAAATAGCATGAGTCTTGGTGTAGGCCTCTGCATGGGACACGTCGTCGTCACACCCACCATGTGAAAATGACCATCTCGAGTGGGAGGGGCCCTCGCTATTATTTCCCACAATTGAGTAATAGTCTAGTACTTGGATACGAAATGTATGAACTCTCTGGTATCTAAAAAGGAACATCTGCGGCATTGGAACACACAGAGAAGGAAAAGGTCGGGTTTTGTGCATGCAGCTGGTTTTTGGTTGCACCATATAAAGAGGCTATTCCAATCACTAGTGAATGCAAAGCAAGTAAAAATGTATGAAATCGAATAGAAGGGGAAAATTGAGACGAGAGACTTTCTCTCCACTTTCTCCAACCCACTGCTCATATATATGCCCCACGTGAGATTATTGAGTGGTGTGATGAGGCAATTCTTTGTTAGGATTGTCGTGATCTCGTCTACCTTGATCTCACTAATAATATCATCAACAATGTCACACACAGAGTGCTGAGATCATGACAATGAAACTGGTTGCATCTGTTGCATCTCATTAATGTTGCATGTCCTTTTGTCCCACTACTACTATTTACTACCACTACCGCAACTGCTACCGTAGTTAGTCTAGTCTAACCAGTAGTAGTGTTAAGTTTACCTTTGTAATGGATGAGGAGCTAATAATCATGAGGATATGCCATTTTATCGACACATACGCAACAACGGAACCACATGGTGGTCCAGAAACCGTCATGGTGACTCAATGCAAAGCAAAACATCTGCATTTCAGACAACCTACATTACACACCTGGGTAGTAGTACTTGAAGGTTTATTCTACAAACTAATACGGTAATAGCAACGTGGTTGATGGCCCAATGCGGTAGTTTATAAGTTTGATTGATACGGAGAATAATAATAATATTGTTTTCATATAAACAAAATGCTTAGTTGGAAATTCGCAATACAACAATTTCGTGCATGGAAGTATTCAGGTTATTATTAGTTGAGGTATAAGAAGACGAATGCATAATAGCAAAAGTAAGGGAGGGAGGTGATGGTGGTGGTGAGGCAACAAGTTTCATTTACCCATTTATTACACTATTCTGCACGAACTCAAAACCTTAACATTCAGAATTAGCGAAAGGCTGCAAAATAAATGCTAAGTCAGCAGCACAAGGTAACATAACATGACATGACATAGTCAGCTTTATTCTGTAAAAATCTATTAGGATTACGATGAATAGGAGGAATATTGGACAGTTTTGTTTTCTACTGGGTTCAAATAACATCCTAAAACGTCGCATCAACTTTGACAACTGGCTAAACGAGTCACTGGTAACAACACTCTCAAGACAGAAAAAATATTACATTCACTCCATTTGCATCAAAGCCAAAGATTCTCGTGCGTGACCCAATGCCCATGTCGAAATTCAATCATAAATAAGTTATCTTGCTTCGATTGGGCATTTCAAGCAGTGTACGTTCCCAAACACATTGCTTCTGACTAATATTGTATCTATCTACGTAGTAGTTCACTTTCATATACACTTGCATATTATTGTACGTCTTATCTTCAAACTATAATCGACGCCACTGCTCGGTCAGCTTTCTCCTCCAGTAAACAGAATATTTATTTGTTTAAAAGTTTCCATGCATGCATTTCTAAAACAACAACTGGCTGCTGCCCCATCCAATCCACCCATCCATTCAGGGTAATCCTACAATTATACGATGTGCAAACAAGAATCTATACCAAACGAAATGAATTTGCATACTTCCTTTCTTTCCTTGCATTTCCTTCACTGCGAGGTATCGCTCAGACTAATCTATTATTCAATACCCAGTTTTCTGACTTAAATAATTGCCGGCATATTTAATGTATTATTAATGAAACAGGGTGACACATTTCCAACTTTAGCTTTTGACAAAAATCAATTATATTTTCCCGATTACTCATTTCATTTGAGATAAAAAAAGGCCATGCGATGCGATGCGATGTAAAGCAAAGTATTCATTAGTTTGAAATAGTGTCAACCAATAATAAAAATGCTAAAAAATATCCCAACAAATAACTTTGCCTGTCTTTCTTTCTATTTATAATTGTCCCAAGAATTTTTTACGAGGAAGAGTATTTATGTAAGTGACACCGGAGAACATATTGATTGCCATGTTAAAGTCCTCAACCCAAGGCTCAACCCAAGTCCGTGGGGCTTGGATATATTACACCAGCCAGACCACCATCAAATATCTGCGACGTGTATCGTATCTATAGTGATGCATTTATTATTACCATTTTCCAGCATTTTCCAGAGCAGAGCATCAGCTCATATGTCATGTCATACCACCACACTAGCCACCACCACCACTTGTTGCAAATGAAACGATTTGACAAAACATACACAGATATCAAATTACTGGCGACACTACTATGCACATAATATTAGGTTAAGTAACACTAGGTTCAAGTAAGACATGTTTGTGAAAATGGCTTTTATAATCATACTTTCATTGATACAGCCAGGCAAGACATGCAAATATAAGTCGGGTGATGGTGTCAGGGGTCATTAGTTCAGATTTCAGTTGATTCCAACAACTGATCCACATTCTACAAAATACTTTCCATCCAACTATTTACTAATATTAAATAGTAGCATACCACATCTTGGTTTATGACAACAAAAAAATATCATTAAACTATTATGAACCCTCAAACCACAACTCAACAGATCCGGCTCGTTTTTTACCCTAAGTAAAAAATCATCCCTCAAAAACAGATGAAATGAATGATGAAATACAAACCCTGCCTGAATTTTTTCACCCGACCCGGCAGGTCAAAAATGAAACCATGCCACAAAATTGTTTTTGATGCAAACCTCATCTCGAAACCCAGCCCTACGATAACCCATATGTGCATCATGTACCATACTCAGCTATGAAAGAAATAGAGAAGAGAGAAATTTCAAAAGACATCAGGCTTGAAAAAACGAAAAGTTTCAAAATTCCGAAAAGAAAAGGAAAAAAGAAGAAAAAAATGAAATTCACTCACTTATGGTCCACTTCTGGAGTATTACTTGAATTTGAGTTGAATTTGGTTGGTGGTCGAGAAGTTTGCGAATTTTTATAGTCGAATTGTTGAGAGCACCGGAGAAGTAGGTGTTGACGAGCCGGCGAATGAGGAAGTAGTGACAATGCCAATTATTCTAGGCAGCCAGGGCAGGAGAGAGGAAAGAGTGAGTCCGAAAAACGCGTCCTCTCATCCAGAATTTCATATTGCCATGAGAACCACGACTCTGCACCAGTGGGCCAACAGCGAGCGAGTGCACATAGAGCGAGGAACGGCGCAAAGTGGATCCGGCAATAGTTCAACAACAATCATGAATAATGATGATAATTAGTTTAGTTCTGGATTACACGTGTTTCAAAATTTGGTCGGAATTGGAATAATAGGTCATGTCTATGTCGTATGGTGCTGTTCTGCGGTCTTGTCCTCTGCGATGTTCTGCTCAGCTTCGGCTAACGGTGCGGAATGCGGGCGACGTTAATAAGAGGAGTGGTATGTAAAAGTTAAGATTAATTAAGTGTCAATAGTAAATGATAAGAGCTGATTTGTTGTTATTAATTTATTTTAAGGGTCGTCACATTTATATGGAATGACACGGCTTGTTAGGAATGCCGCTATGATGAGCTCACAATGTTCAGTATTTTCTAAGAGTAAGAAATTAACTTGAAAATTAACGTTACTTGTCAAAACTTAAGTTCTGGCAATGTTTAAGTGGTCTTTATTTAATATTCTGGTTTATGTAGGTATTGGATCCACCATATGCAAAGTTGGATGGTTAAATTACAACAATGTTCTTAAATTAAAGCCTTTCCCATCGCGTGAAATGATCATTTGTAGAGGATTGAGATATAATCAGCGCTTCAACAATAAGGGGGGACATGGAAGTAAATCAATACTCGCTTTGAAACATTATTGGGCTGATGATCCATATCGACAAGTTAGCAGTAAACCTGATGGACCAGTCAAAGTAAAAAATCCTCGACCCAAAGGCATTGTACCAATTGGAGAAGATTACGGAGGCTATAATGAAGAGAAGCATGAAGAATATGAAAAAGAGGCGGAACAACGTCAAGCTAGAATTCAATGGTTCAAGAAAATATTTTCATCTATGGTGTTCCTGTCCATATTCGTGGGTGTACTTTGGGCCCGTAACAAGAAGCAACGAACAGTTAACGAAAATACCAAGAATGTGACTTTCTTACCTCGAGACTTTCTTTTTGCTGGGTCATTTAATAGCTTTTGTATTGTTGAAAGTCCGCATGGGGGAGAATCCTGTGTTTTTCAGTCTGAAATTGTTCGAGATGGGACTTTGAAATTTATCCAGTCAATGGATTTGCGCAGTGGAGACGTTGTAGTGGCAAGTTTTCCCAAAACAGGTAAAATATCAGTTTGCTTAGAGTATTTGCTAAATTTTTAGACGTTAGATCATTCTCTATCGATTTAATGTATGATTAATTAATTTGTAATTTCAGGAACGACATGGGTGCAAGAAATAGCATATTTGATAGAAAATAAGTTGGATTTCGAAAAGGCGAGCTCTAATTTGCTGGAGGACCGTTTCCCATTCTTAGAGTATCCATACCCTGGTAAGATGTTTCATTTGATCTGAATATTTATTTTTACAGATGAACAAATAAGTTAACAAATGAAAAGAGGTCATTGAACTATTACTAACGTATATTTGTTTGCACCAGGTGCTCGATCAATTGATAAAATGAAGTCTCCTAGAATGATAAAAACTCATTTACCATTTTCGTTCCTACCAAAACATACCGACAACGCCAAAATCATCTATGTCACCAGGAACCCCAAAGACACTGTGGTTTCATACTACCATTTTGCACGAATGTTATCTTTCACAGGATTTACTGGAAGTTTTGCAGAATTTCTTGACCGGTTTATGGATGGAAAATGTAATTTATTTATCAAGTCTGAAATAATGTAATGGTAATTCTTGCAAAGTGCAAATTCTGATAAAATAATGTTGTTTTTGTATATTTCAGTACCGTATTGCTCGTATTTTTCCCACGTGGAAAGCTATTTACAAAGGAACAACGATCCCAATATTTTGATTGTATCATACGAAGACTTATCAAAGGATCCTGCAACCGTTATTCAAGTAATGCCAGTACATTATGTTGTCCTTCCTTACGATTATGAATTTATTCTGGTATGATACTCACATGTATGGTACTCTATGTATGCTAGAAAATCTCCACATTTTTGGAAAAGCCTTTGACATCCGACGAGGTGAACAAAATTGTTGAGCATACAACGTTTCAAGCCATGTCTTCCAACCCTTCTGTTAACTACAAGCACTGGGATGATCTAGGATTCAGGAAAAAAGATGAAGCACTCTTCATGCGAAAGGGGAAAGTTGGTGATTGGAGAAATTACTTCAATGCCGAATCCAATTCTCAGTTCGACAATTGGATTACAAGTAGTAATAAGCTCAATATCAAATTTGAATATGATCCTTGAAATGTTCAACTAGTCGTCTATTAATCTTGTTATGTATCAACCTAGTGAAGTGTGAAAGGGCAAAGTTGGCGATATATTTTAAGCATTACGAAGTAAAAGAAGTAATAAATATATAATGTTTCGAATATTGAGTGAGTGATTTGTTGCTAAAAAAAGCATTGTTAAGCAATATTTCCCATATAGCTCTATATTAACTTAAAGTATGCATATTGTGAGAAAATGAGATGTCTGGAAGGATTTCTTTGTAATATTGCTTACTAAATTACATGCTTAATCCGACTTTGTTCCTACGTTTAAGCTGGCCACTGCTCAATGCATGTATATCTAAGCTTGTACAGCTAAATGGACAAGTCCATCCGGAAATATCATAATTTAATTTCGCCAATCCAATTAGTCACCCGGCCTAAAATTACCAGGAATTACTTATCCTCACAGGCTAACTTGATTTTGCCACGAACATATCGGTCCCAGCATAACTTTTTAGCAGTGGTGTCAGGGTTTAGCAGCAGCAAATCAAAGTCAACTCATTTAATCATTTCCTTTGATGTTTCCAACCATCAAATATTTGATGAAATGTATAAAGTGCTCGACCCATCTCTGGCACTCTTGCTCTCACCCATTTTCTGTATCAATACATGCTCAACAGAGCTGAATTAATTAATTATGGGCGCAGAGCAAAGGCAATCATAATACGCACCAGGAGTTAGCGACTGTTCTCTGTGTGGTAAACAATTAATTTTGACATCATCACGACGTCCAGTGGACTCGGCGTCAACGGTGGTCCGATCATAGAAAGAGGGTAAAGCAATTGATGGGATGTGGTTGATACCATAAAGTTGTAATGTTGCCAGTAGTGAATGAAAGTCAGCAAGTGGTGGATGCGGATGCGGGGAGAAAGTCATCTCTCGCTCTCGAGAAGAAAAGACCAACCACTACAATCTACAATCAAAAGAGTGAAAGAAGAAAGAGCTTTTGGGAAAGTTACACAACGCATCGATCCATTGGGCTTGATTTTCTGCCTATATTTGAGTATGTTTAGCATTTGAGTGAACCAAGGTTGGTAATGCGGTATCAGTGGTGAGCACTTTGCTTGAGTGGGTTTTCATTTTCACACAATAAGGGAGAGTAAAAGTACAACAAAAGCTATAATTGGATTGATGTTGTTCCACATCCCTAGTCAATTCATAGAGAGAAAGCGAGAAATTAAGATTTATCAACGTCAACAAACAACATTTCCATAAATTGTAAACGTGTTGTTGTCACTCTCGATCAAAACGTCAGTTATGATATTAGTCTTGTCAACGTATTTCCAATTCCAATTTGGACAACAATGTTCACCACTTATACATAATTCCATTATAAGTGGTGAACATTTCGCACCTGTTTCACCACTTTCCCCGACCGGTGAAAGTGCTTTGGTGAAAGTTTGCCCAACATTTACTAGAAACAAATGCGATTCAAGAAATTTCATTTTTTACACTTGAGTTTATTATCATTTTATTCTCGGAGAGGAAATATTTTCTGATTTAGTTGGCTCTTTTTTGCTTTTCGGCTGGACTCGAGTTTTTATTTTTAGTACATATAACAACATTGAAAATGCTTTTATTCTGCCTTACATTATATACATGCATACATTCAATATACTTTCTCCTCACACTATTGTTTCTACTTGTATTTCCACTCTGCTAAGCTGTAGATAATATGCTTCACTTACATAGAAAACTACACCACGGTTTCTTTTTTAGAACCACTCGGGACGACGACTGCTTGTACTATATACATATACACGCTATGTATGTATTTATGTATTTTGTTTTGTTCATACAGAAAATAACACATTTTGATTTCCTTGTAGTAGTTTCGTTTCGATTACATGTTTCATTTTACATAATATTTTATGCAATAAATAGTTGAGTAAGCAATAATACCGTTTGGTTTTATGAGTAAATGTGACAGCCTTCTTAACATATAAAAAGCCTGCATGTTTCGCAGTAAACTTGGCATCTGAGAACTTTTTTCTTTTACTAAAAGTAATAATTTTTTTCTTCTTCTTCTTGAGAGCTTAGAGAGCAGTCGAATTGTGCCTAGTTTTTCGAGTGGGATGGTCCTCCACATAACCGGATGTGTAACACTCTAAATTGATTTTAGACCTCGTGACCACGCTCAGTGCTGCAGTTCGATCAAAGTCGATGGTGGCATAACCTAGCTCCCCATTGTTGGCTGGAGTACTGTCCCCAACCCCATCACAGAGTACGATGCCGCCACCACCACGCCCACCGCTTATCAAATTCCGCTGATGGGGTAGGAGGGAAGATGGGTGGTGGTGGAGGGGGAGTGGGTCACCAATGGTACGAATGGGACTGGACCTACTTCCTAACTTGAGTCTGAACTTTGAATCGTTCAAAGTCGCCATGGGTTTCCCATTCTCCTTGTTCCCACCGAGGAAGAAGCGACCTTTGCCAGATGAGAGATGGTGGTGGAGGGGATTTGTACTAGAAGAAGAACAGTTATCAGTCTTGAGGTCCAGTTCGGCATAGTTGATTTCAGCAGGTTCGAAGGGAGAGGAGCCGTAATGAGCAGACAGGACTTTATCCCGGTTGGGAGAACACACCACATTTGTGTAGAGAAGAGATGAGTCGTTGTTTGTGGGGTTGATCGTGTTACCACTGCTGCTGCTGTTACTTGCACCGAATTGACCTGACATCCTCCTCTCATGATTCATCACGGAATATTGCGATTTGTTCTGAGTGGGGATTTGATAAGGGATGGACGAGGCTCTGGCCGCAGGGGCATTGTGATGCTGCTGAGACGACGAAGAGGACGTTGGCAGCCCTTCTACATTCATGTACAAAGGATGACAATTGTTGTTTAGCATTTTCTGAGATTGTGACGAAGGGAAAGAAGACGTTCCAGGCGCAACGCTGCCGCCACCACCACTAGCGCTGCAGGATGAAGAAGATGTGCTGGGAGGGACAGCTTGGCTATTGGGAGCGACTTGCGTCACGTCCGGGGCATTGTTCGATGTCTGTCGATTGCTGCTATTTTCAGCGAGGTTTACATAGACAAAAGTCGAGCTGACGGGGGTGGAGGGATTGTTGCTGCATGTGGGGGTGATGGGGGTTGAAGGTACCGTGTTTGGAGTGGTGCCAGGATTGCCTTGGATTTTTGACTGGAGAAGGTTGAATAAAGATTGTGCCCGGTTACAGCGGAAGGCGAAAATCCCAGCGCCCGTTGGACACCGTCGACCCGATTCGAATGAGAACAAGTCGTTATCATATCCGTACCGACGGAGACATCGTAACGGCCAAGTTAAGGAGGGTTTTCCCCGTACATGCAGCACCAAGTCGGTTTCCGTAACTTCCAACTTTCCGGGAGAGATCTGTCGAATAAATATATAGGAAGCTTTAAATGTTGATGTTTTTTGTTCCGGGAACACGTTAATGAGGCGTATGGAGAGGAATTTCACATGTTTGACATACAAAATAATTAGCTTAGTTAGAAGTGTTTATTGGCTTATTAACGCATACAATGAAATAAAATTGCTTCATTTCCTTAAAATTATTCAGTTTTCCAAACAAATATTTAATCACCTGTCGACCCATGTCGTCCACATTGAGGACCGGAAATACGTTCTGACGTCTCAAACTGCTCCGCCGGCTCCCTGATAAACCTCGATTTCGGACGACAGCCAGTTTACTGCCGATGCAGCCCATTACATTTTCTGAATTCTGGAGGGCCAATTTCGTTCTCCGCAAAAAGTTGGATCTGCAATTTTAATGAGTAAAGACATTAATAAATCAAACACGGAAATGTGGAGAATATTTGGTTGACAATTAGCGAAATCTACTCATTAGTCTCAAATTAACCTATCAAGTCTCTTCTTTCCCATTTGCAGCTAATAAATTGAGAACATGGAAACTTTGTTTGTCCAAACAAAATTTAAGCGGATCAAAGAACTAGTGTCATCATTCCACCGTCATACTATTCCTTTCGTGTATGTCTCGGCATTTAGTTTGTGGCAAGAAATAAGAGGCTTACGGAGAGGGTGACTTGCTGAAGAATGATGATGATGATGATCAAAAACCACCTTCCTCTTTACATTTCCTTCCAAATTTCCTGTGTAACACACGCCAACAACAAGTCCCAACCTCGTCTTCTCCGATATGCTTTTTTATTCCTTTCCTGAGCCCTACTTATGCTTGGGTTGAGGCCACCGATCACCGGATGCTGACAAGCACACCCTCTCACAATAAGTACCCCTCTCTCTCTCTCTCTCTCTCTAGATATTTTCGTGAGGAGGTGGACAGGAAGAGATAAAATTACGTCAACTTCATTTAAGGTGAATCAAGTCGGATGGTGGATGGATGATGAACTCGTCTTCGTGTATCCATCCATGATTCATACCTTCCAATCTCACGTAAAACTCTTGGTCATTCATTCTTACAGCTAGTCCTGTTTGGACTAAAGTTCGTTACCACTTACTGAAATGAAGTCTCATTTTCCTTCATTCTTAACTCATGGAAGAATAGAAGCGTAAAAAAACGTGTAAAATATACAATGTGTTCTTATGTTTGACTTGACATTAAATCATAAAAGTTTGTATGTATATTGTCTGCCTGAGAGTTTCCTTCCTTATTTTGTGCTTTATTCATCCGGGTTTCATTCCGTGTCGCAGGTTGCTTATTGGTTTTCGTGCATCCGCCCCATTCCCATCTTTTAAATGAATTGATGAGCAAAACTGTGAGAAATGCTTTGATTCATCTCGTAAGTGATGAGGCTGACGTAAAATATTTTGTTTTTCCGAAATACGGGCACAAATGACAAATTTCCACAAATTGTCAAATTAGATGATTTGAAGAGGTCCCTGGTGATTAGTGTAGTTAATGAGTGAAAAGACAAGGTAAAGCACTTGGGCCAATTAATTCAAACTCAATCTAAAATTAATCGGACAATATGTATTCGGCGTAGTCCCAAATGAGAGGAATTTCTAGAAACGAGTACTGTAGATGTGTAGGTATGAAATGAAACTGGAAAAACTTTCACCTCGTCCCACGTCCAATTCCACCTTGTTATATGACTAACTTTCTGTGATTGTCATTTCGTTATCCTGTTCTCAACTTTTTAATCAACTCGGCACAACGAAACGAACGACGGAGGAGGCGAAATGAGACATGATGCTATTTACGTTGCCATTATGTATTACTTGACATGTAACTGTTTCTCCTTCTCTCTCCAGGCTTCTAGTCGAGCAAGAAAGCAAGAAAAACAGCATTCACTATCAAATTGGACATGCAATTAATTTTGCTTTTCCCAACTGAAAATTACAATAATTTCCTCTGCTTTAAATTACTTTGTCCTTTCCTGGAAACCATTTATCTCTCTTTAAGTGAAAACATTGTAATAATGAAGTGTCTGAATTGACAAGATAAAATCCCAAAGGTGGCTAGAATCCAGTAAGAACCAACGAAGGCTTGAATTGGAAACCAGTTTCGCATAAGTATTTGCATGGACATTCATTAAGCACTTACTTTGTGTGTCACTCCCCTTGCGATGACAATTTTCATTTGTGCTGAGCGAGGCGGAACCACGTAAGGAAAGGAATAAGGATGGCACAAAGTAAACTCATTTAAGCCGAACAAGAAATTTCCGACGCAACAATAAACAAAATAAAAGCAGCGTTCCATTATTGTGGACACTCATTTGGCTGTCGGAATCGTTCCGCAATGACTCCTCGTCCGTAATGTCTTTCTCGCTGCGTAATTGATTCCCTTGTTCTCAATAAATTAGCTCGCTTCGTGCTAATTACAACTTATTCGCAAACAAAACATTATCTGGAACTGGAACATGATCCTTCCATTAAAAAAGTGTACATTTGAACCGAATCTGAGCTAACTCCAACATAACCCCGTGGATGGATTGTTGATTCTACAGATACACAGACTACATGCATAAATACATAATCTGACTAAAACCCGAACTTCCCATTTGCAGTGTTCTCGCTCATTGGCCTTTCATTAAAAAGAACATTATTATTACCATGTGAAAGGTCATAGATTCGTGATTGATTATATAGTCTACCTCCTACGGAAAGTAAACGTAAATATGTACGTACAAATCCCTCTCATTAAACTTTGTCATGAAACGTACCTTTCATTACTAACTATTCCTTGCGCCAAAAGCTTGATGGTCTATTTCCTAAAGCGAAGCATCATTCAGTTAAATTGTATAACGTGATGCACCAATCATTTTATGACAATTTTATGAGGAGATCTCCATTTTAGCAAATTGCACTGACATTTCTGCAGTTGTCGAATCAATACAAGTCATCGTAAAAATGGTTGTAAAAAGGTTATTGGAACGTGTGGTGGGTGATGTAAGTGATCCATTTAAATATATCAGCGTCAACTACGAGCAAATGCATTTAACAGCAAACATCAAACATAAAATCAATTATCAGCAACACTACATATTGCGTGAAGAACGATGATGATGAATCATGAAGCTGACAAGAAGACCAGCATGGGTCCGAGCGAAATGTTACATTGAATAGCTGAGCATATTTGGATATGCAAACCTGCCAGAATCCTTTATAAGTCTATAACATGAATATTTAAACAAGAACATCAAAGTTAGCAACATGCAATTAGTTTTTGGATATTTTCTTTGATATTCGACGGATATAAGATTAAGTTGCGAGGAAATGACAAAATTTGCAAACTTTTCCTGCTTGCAGTCAAGTACAAAATCGATACTTTAATTTAATGGAAAAAGATTAAAACTGTTCTCTGAAAATTTGCCTATAAAGTGGTCCACAAGCCGTAGATAATTGCCTCCACACACATACACACACACACAATTTCCACCGCAGGAGGAGCCTATAACTTTAAATTGTTGACGACGACGAGGAGGAAAGATGAAACCGCACCCAAGCTGTAATTGTAGCCAAACCAGAGGAGAAACTCCTGTGATGTGAACACTTTAATCAAGCACAGAGAAAAGTTTTCTCCAGAGAAATTGGATTTACTTTTCCTGCTTCTCTACGTGTGTCAAGAAAACAACCCGTGTCGTATGTTGGGCTGAGATTGAACACAATTAAGACGAATCTAATCTCGCATAAAAGCCTTTCACTGAATTTGTGACACAAATTGGACAGAAATATTGAGGGCAACTTTTGCATCAATATTCAATTTCAGCTATTCACAAAATATCCGGCATTTTTAAGGGCCCTTAATTGAAAATAAATTTGATCTGAAAACCATGTTGTTGCCACCAGCCAGCCGAACTTTTGTCCAAATAATTGCAAAAAAAACTTAATTTAACGAAAGAACCAACCAACTGGTAGTGCCATAAAAATCAGATATGATTATGTGAACTGAAGAGTTTTGATGTTACGACTTTCAGGTACTTTTCAACAGTAGCATTTGACATTTAGATATTCCTCGTAAAAACATATTCTAATTTTATTCAAGCATCTCATTTTCCATTCCATGGAAAATTGAGGAAACTTTTCGTGCTTCCCTGCACGAGGTGTACTACTAACCTGAACAAAGAGGATATTTGTGCAAGTGGATCTGACTGATGGTGCAGGGAGGATTAAATCATATTTGTATAACAAAAATATATATTACCTCTCACACAACCGTAATCTCTGGCTCCTGTTGTGTCCTGCTGCTGGTGACTGCGAGTTGGTGGACCGATGACGACGGCTTGACAAACTTGAGCTTCGGCTTAGTCGTCAGTTTAATAGGTTTTACTGCATTTCTTTATGACTTCAGCGTAGCGTTGTCAATATTATCATATAAATTTCTACCCATAGCATAAGGCGGTCTCAATTCATTATTCTTACTTCTTCTGGATAGTAGTAGGAGGAGGATTACCCATTCATGGTTCAAAGATACGATGGTGCCGTGCTGACACGTGTTTTAGGTCTCAATCCCATGAAAAGCTTGACGGATTTTAATTTTCGGGAATAAAGTGAGATTGGCAGGTTCTTCTACGACGACGGCCACGACGACGACGATGATGATGATGTTGAGCCGAATGAGTGGAAATAACCGAGTCAAGTCAATGCGATTAAGGGGATTTGTGTAAACTGTGTGAAAGGGACAGGTAGCAGTATCCTATTCCGGTGGGATCACTTTGCTTCACCACCATCACTTTCTACACGACACGCAATCCTTTTAGTATTGATTGCGTCTCCTGGTTTTACAATAGTCTGAATTATAAAGATCTACATTTGACTACTGGGGTTGAGGTATCTCGGAATAAATGTCAATCGATTTTCAGGGAAATCTTTCTTATGATATCTCACTCGCTCTTCTTCTTCTTCTTCTTACGTAACGCTTGGTCGGTTCGTGTGTTTGAAAATAACGGGTTTTCTGCCCGTGTAGTAACAACAACAACAACGATGTACGGACGAAGAATGCTTGAATTTGGTGAGATAACAGCGATACTGTGTGCGAGGGAGTGGGTTTGTTTGGTTGGAATAATTCGGATTTGCAGCTCTTACTATGATTATTATTATGATTCGTTCGGATTCACGATTAGCCGTTCCTACATTACTTGTGTAATGTAGTCGTAGTGGTCCAAACTGCGGCAGCAAGTCGACGGAATGGGATGATGCCCACAGTTTGTTAAATACTTGTTAAATGCGATTGACTCGATGATGGTATGGATGATAGTGGAAGGATGAGACAAGAAGACAAGGGACGACGAAGGGGAAGTCAAACTACTCTGGCTCACGGAGACGAAATATCCACTAGCTCGACTTGATTAACACTACCACACTTGCTAGTTGAGACTTCGGTAGTCGTCGGATCTCTGGTCATAGCAAAAGCAAAAAGGGTTGCCAGCACCAGAGTAAAAGTATAATACGTTGCTTCGTGAGAGTGAGTGAGTCTCAATTCTCTCTCTCTTCTAAAGCTCCTCTCTTCTAAGTATAAGCTCGAGCAAGATGCGATGTCGACCCAGCTGAAGAGATCCATCCGGTGTTCTCGTACAACTGCTGCTGCTTGCTCACTGCTTTGCGGTCCGCTAAGCTGCGTAGAGGGAGTGTTTAAGCAAACCGTTCTTCACACATGCAAATATCACATCTTCTCGGCCATACGGCAGCAGTTAAAAGAGAGAGAAAAAAGAAATGATCACCAGCCTTATTGTTGTCACATTGATTTTGGCACGGTGGGTGAAGCCGGAGCAGCAGCAGGTCGTCCGAAACTTTGTCGCGTAATTTGGAGCGGTAGACGGGAGTTGTAGAAGTAGTAGAAGTAGGGAATGAAACCGTGTCTCTGAAACGCTGCAAGTGATGTTTGTTACCCATTCATACCATTATTATCAAAAACTTGTCTCAGAATTGTTCCTTGTTATCAGTCGGGATTCACGGATGCTCTCTCAACCAGCAACTTCTTTTCCCTCCACCCTTAGAGATATTCCTTTTTACGTGTGTTTGCTTTCCTAACTTTTCAAAATCTTACAGCTTGAAGATTTCAGAGTTTGAGCATACATACATAGTTTCAGTGTGGATCTCTGAAAACTGAGAATGGGACCTCCTGCATGGTGGTACACAGGCTGTGCATTTTCCGTGTGGTGGGTAGTAGACATTGCATGAGTAAAGATAATAAACGGATGACAGCGTTTTCTTCTTGAGGCATCAGCGTGGACCGCGACCAATTGATGGAAGAAGATTCGTCCTCTCTTACCAGCCTTTTTAAGCAAGCTTTACTTTGGTGCTTATACCAGCCAACTTTACGAACTTTGAATTGGGCAAGTTTGCACATCATCAACATCAGGGTCTCACTTGTCCATTGCATTTTCGACGAGGTGGTGAGAAAGCTATGTGCGTGGTGGTTGGGGGAACTGTAAGTAATGTAAAAAAAAAGTAAACTGTTTAAGGCTGAGTGCACGGAGTGAGTGGGTAGTAAAAAAACGGTTGAAAATGTAAAAGGTGTATCAGCTGCAAACTTTTATGCAACAAACTCGCTCTTTTAGCGAAGGAGATGAGGGACCCTGCTGCTGCTGGCCGTAGAGTTTATTGTGCAATGAGAAACCTGAGACGGGAGAAAATTATTTTCATGTTGCTTCTTCTCCCGACGACGAGATAAGATATTGCAGACGAAGAAGATTCAATTGGTTCATACGCAAGACTGTGAAAACTTAAATCTTGCTTATTTCCCATCTCTTCTCCATTACTCTCTGGCTCTGTTTTCTGTTTTCTTTGATCTCATCTTTCAGCATCATTCTGTCTGACGGTATGATGACATTCCTTGAGGAGGAGCAGTTCTCAGGAATTGGACAAAGAAGATTCAAGACCTTATTGTTCCTTCGTTTCGAAAAAAAATTCAAAATCAGTCTCACATCTTTTCTATATTATATTGGCCTTTTTATTATGTATATTTCTTGAGAAGAATTACTTTAGTCTCTCGTCGCTCAAAGTCTCAGTATAAGCTTTTTTGCAGAGGATTCTCTATCCAGCGCAGCATGAAAGGGGAGAAAATGAGAAAAAGAGAAAGCTAATGAAAATGGCCCGATCCAGGTAAAAATTTCCCAGTAGGATACAAATGTCAAAGGGCACCTGCTAAATATATATCATTTTGGCATCAATTGTCGGTAATAAATCCCAGAGACAGATGTTCATCCCTCTCTCGCTCCCCGAGCTCTGATCTATTGCACAATACCAACAAAATGGACATTGGGATTATTACTTATTTCTTGGAGCATTTTTCCAAAGTGGAAAAATAGAAAAGTGACCAGTGGACACGGGTGGACATTTCCATGCCGCTCGCTCGGGTGAAAGGTATCATCAACAAATGGAGAGGATGACGACGAACAAGAAGATGATGGGAGAAAGTGGAACAGCAACAGCAGTGCAGCAATCATGTCACTAATTTTACTCAATAAGCGGTCCTAGTAAAAATAAGTATTTTAAGACTCCCCACGAGCAATAAGCCCATAGTTTGGTGGTGAAAGAACAGGAAACGTCAAGCGTCTATCACCACCACTTGCGTCATGTCATGTCTCTTGAATGAAGCTTCCGCGATAAAACATCTCATTAGTCTTCTTTCTTTGGTCAGAATATTTCTTGTCGCGCATTCTGACAAAATTTTATTCATCCACACGTCACATCACGTTGCCGGGCTGCTCCGGCTCAATAGAACAAGTACGTATTATGACAAATTCTGGAGACATTTCTAAATTGAGACTTTGCAGATTTGCGTCTTCTTTTTCGCAAATAGCCTCAGTTGGTATAGAACTTAGGCCATACAACTTTCCGAGAAAAGGTCACGAGAAGGAGGAGGAGATGGATTAATTTGCACAATAGGCGAGCAGCCCAGAGTGAACAACCGTTGCGACAGAGAAAGGGAAAGAACCCTGGAGGAAGAATTATACGAATGTACGCAAACATATTTATTCTCATGTAATAAATACTTGAAAGTTATCCCTGGTTATTCTTAGAAAATTGGAAGCTGAGTAAATTGGATCTTTTCTTTATGTATTTACAAAGAAAATAATATACGCTTGCCTGGTAACCGAGCAAGTTGCTGGACAGCAATCTGGTGGTGGTGGAGGTAATGTGTAGTTCTCTGAAAATCTCAAGTTGCCTCTTTCTCTTGTGGTGAAAGCACACGTGATTTGTATTACATTGACATGCATCGATAACGATGGATCAAGATTGATTATTTGTACATCCTCCTCCTCCTCCTCTGCGTCTACCTGCGCCTATCCAATAAGCACCTTTGGCTTTTTATTCGTCTTATTCCTGAGCCGGCTTGGGCTTTGTCAGGACTTCTGAGAAGTAGAAAGAAAGGCGAAAATAGAGAGCGAGGTTGTGACTCGGCAGTCAATTCGAGAATTGCAAACCTGATCACGCAGAGATGAAGAAGAAGAAGGTGGGACTGGCTGCTTTCTTGCTGTTCGTATAATTAAAAAACGTGGATGGATGGCAAGAAGTGCCAAAGAACTCGTATGGGCTGAGTGACGGTGCGGCGTTTACATGCTGTGAAAGAATACTGGATCAATTTGGTGGTGGTGGTGGTGTGCTGGGACACAAAGAAAGAAAAGAAAGTCGGGGAGATGAGGAGAGGAATTGTTTTTTTGTTTGGCCAACAAATATCTGTATTATATTGCGGCACGAATTTAGTCCTTCATGTCGGTGATTGTGTTGGAGGTGGTGGTGAGGTCGAGGCGAGGCTAGCATTTCGCGAAATTGGGGACGAAACCGAGTACCGCTCTTTTGTAACAAAAAAAAGTCTTAGAAAATATGTGTGGATGGAAGGACGAGGCGAAGTGGACTAAAAATAGGAGATGGATGGATGTGCAAATGTTGCATGGTTCATTAAGTGGTTCCCCACTCTGGGATACTTTCTCCTCTGCAGGGACACAAATCAATACCGCCATTGAGCGAAGGAGAAAGTGGTGGACCAAAAACCTAAAAGCCAATAAGTCCGGGCAACACTCTGTGTAGTTGCATTAATATAGTTAGGTATGCATGCATACAAAGTACACACTTTGAGTGGGTGACAGGTTTTTTGTGCATGACGATGGTTGTGGTATAGAAATTGGGATCTACGCTACCGGTCTATGCAACAAATGTGGAGATTAGTAAACATTTGCCAAAATAGATTTGATTTGCAATTTATTTATGAAAAATGTATTTATATTTGTCTAGAAAAATGGTCAATATCTGAATATAATAATATATAGTGACAGTGGTAGGGTACACTCTAAGAATTAATTTATATGTCAGATATTGTGTTGTTGTAGTTAATTGAAGCTCGTAAGTAAGTATGCTGACTATGTGTACGTATGTTTTGAATCATTTTAATCATAGGAGAGGCACAAATGACCACATCCAACGGGACACTCTTGGTGCTTGGTGAACCATTGTCGCAGATGGCTTACGTGACCACCATGACCGCATCCCTGGCACCAAGACATCAGACCTGCAACGCTTACGTGACACACTGCGCATCGTGCAACCGTTTTTCTGCATCTATGTATGTACATTTATAAAGGAATTTGATTAGCAAAATGGCCAAAAATGAGTTATTTATATAAAAAGCGTATATAACATTTTTTATATTTACTTATCACAATAGTTGCCAGCCTTTTGTGTCAATGGCTTTGCACACTTTCCGCAGCTAATGAGGTATGTTGTACTTTCCTGGGACATGGCTCCAAGGACTCCGGAATGTTTTACCACGCCAGCAGCATAAGTCCACAAGCGATTTCGTTGCAAAAAATCTACGTAGGCGTAACACCAAGCTTCTAAAGTCTGTGCCTTTATCGGCAACTTGTACACCTTTGACAGTACAATCCATACACAAACTGCAGTCTGAACATCTCCTATAAAACCATGCACCAAGTGAATTAGAACATGAATGTGCTTATTATTTAAATTTTCATAATTTACCATCTTTGGCATGATGTTCTAAAGCCTTCATCAACGGTCCGGAAAAGTCAAATGGAGGGACAGGTTGAAATGGTGCAATTTTGAGCTGACTTGTGCGATTTTCAATTGCGACAGTTTCCAAAGCTTCTTCATTATCTCTTGAGGAACAATCTTCCAAGTGTATTGGAGGCGAGGACCCTTCTCTTAATTCATGCCGGTGTTGAAAGGCCTCAGCTGGTAGAATGGGCCAGTCCTCTTGTACTTGAAAATCATACGTCGGAGCGGTTGGCATAAACAGATTTTGAGTGACATGAAGTCCTGAGGCAATCTCGGCTAGGATGTCCTGCTTTTCTGCTTCAGAACTTGAATTGTTGTTAATATCCTCATCGGATAGGTTATGATCTTCATGATCATCTTTTGGAGGAGTATTTGATATTGGGTCGATTGGTTTCTTTACTAATTCTGCTTTCAAGTCTGATGTTGACAGACTCTGGACGAAGAGCTTGGATATTTCCCAGACCAAAGCAGCCTAAATTTGAACAAATTCAGCATGATCAAGTATTTGAACGTAGTAAACAAATAACGTTTGCAAATAACAATATTAGCTCAAATACCTGAGGCCGTTTGGCAGACATTGCAAGCTGAGCATTCTTTTCGCAAACTTCTTTTACACTTTTCCCAGTCAAGGAGTATCTATTAAACAATTTATTTCGATTAATACATTTCATCATATTGCTCTAAAGTAAAAACTATCTGAAAGAGATAATTTAAGTACTTTTGCGCCAAATCGACACTTGATCCCTCTCGAAGTAGGCGACCAACTTCATACGTAAAGAACAGACTTTGAGCCATGTGGAATTCTTCCTCGCGGGTGGTTGTCTTACGGCTAAAAGTTACATACATATGTTTCCAGTTAAGAAAAATAAGTTATGGTATTAGAAGAATGTGATATCTTGACATCTAAAGGTCATACTTAAAAATCTGAAATTTAGGAACAGGTGCTGATGATTCGCCTCCTCCGAGTCCTGATCTATCAGTTACTGCTTGCGCAACTTCTCCTCGACGAATATTGATGGCCAACGCCTGAGGAATTGCTCTAGAAGCGGGACGAGAAGCGTCCCTAAAAACATGTTGCCAAACCATACAATCCTACAAAATACAACAAATAGTACATTACTTTAATAGTTAATGGTACAACATAGTTTGATGGTGAGTATGCTACCTTAGCCGTAGATAAAAGTACGTGAGGGCTACTTTTCCAAACTATTCCTGTTGCAACGTCCCTGCAAAATTAAATAATCAGTTTCTTAATTCAACTATCAAACATATAATTGTACCAAAATAATCATACTTGTGTTTCTCAAAGGCGGCAAAGGGGACGAAGGGGCGACGCACGTCCCACACGCAAACACTAGTGTCGACAACAAGGGAGGTGCTCCCAATGTGATTTTTTCTTCCAGGTCTCCATTTTATTCGACCTACTGACGCCACGGTTTGAATGGTATGATCCAATGTTGCCACACTGCAAAAATCAAATGTCAGTTGCTCAGAATTAAAATTTTTCAATATCCATTGCATACCTGCCAATAGTCCAGACTTTGATTGCACGGTCCCGTCCCCCAGTTGCAAGAACGTTAGAGTTTTCCGGATGCCAATCACACGCTATATTAATTATAAATTGGATCAAGTTATATAGATATAGAATGTAAAAAATTATGAAATAAAAATATTACAACTTACTGAAAACAGGTCCCGAATGTGCAGTGAAAGTCAAATACGGTCGCTCTGTTCCTTTTCTAAGATCCCAAAGCTGCACAGAACCATTTTCGCTAACTGAAGTAAAGCACGTTGTACTCTTCGGAAGGAATTGAATATCTCTGACACTTTCAGAGTTACTGCTTAAGAACAAGGAAAAGGATAAATTTATTTAGAAATAATTAAGTTCTAAAAAATATGTTAAATGATGATATGGTAATATAATAAGCATAATAATAGCATATGTATACCTCTTGAAAGTCAATTTTGAGTCTTTACCCCGTAAATCAAAGCACTTTACAGTTCCATCTTGACTTCCGGATAAAAGCATAAAGGGGTCCGTGGGATGAAACAAGACCTTAAATAGTCCGTTTTATGTGTTAAAATTGCATGTGCGTCCGTACATAAATAAATTGTAATCCTTCCAAATATATAATATGCATTTTACTTTGTGAACCGTTCGTTGATGATCCGGAAACACAAATTCTTGTTTGGCTCTCGTATTTTTCGACAAATTCCACAATACGACAGCCCCATTTGTAGCTCCAGTGGCAATCATAGTTTCGTCCAAAGGATTCCATGCGACATCGTTGCAAGAATAATTCAAATTCAAATTCTTTCCAACTCGGAGATTTAGAATTTCCACAAAGCATTCCTCCTCCACTGCTAAGATTTTGAATACTAGAAATCCGCACAAATCAATCAATTTTGAAGTACTTAAAAATACATATGCACATTAATACGTTGTCAATTTATATATCTAACAAGCGTAATATGCAGCCTATATTCTCATTAATTAAAGCAATGTTTGTACCATTTCTTCCTGCCACGACGACCCTGGAGTTATCTTTCGACAAGGCTAACGCATTTGCTGGACCATCGCCAAGAGCAAAGCTCATTGAACGATTTGTGTAATCTTTTTGCATGATTATGACTCCTTTTTAACTTATATTTAAATTTTCAACCAACTATTTCTTCATATGTATTACATTTTCATAATCACAATTATTGAATAATTCGGCCACATATATGTAAAACTATGCTGATTTTTGTCAACTTTCATGTAGCGTTTACGGTAACTTTATAATTCTAACTATTTTCTGTTGTTTAGTCCTTAAACAATTAATTCTATCCGGCATATGTCTTTGTAAACTTAACAACAACCCACCACAATTAACTTTAACGTTAATTATCGTCATTTTTGTGAACACCATTCCTACTACTTTCACCACTAATCAAGACAATATATATATCTATATATTTAAGATGGGATGACACTAATGATGGAATTTAACGTATGTAAAAGGCCTTGTTGCAGGCCCTTTCTCACTGTTATACTCGGTATAAAAACATTAATTTTTTAGATTACGATTACACGTGTAAGTCCACATTTATCGTTAGTAGCGTGCGTATTTCACATTCAATCCAAATAACCTTGATTCTCACGATTCAGTTCAACAAACTTTTTATCACTGGAAACATTAAACTATTTGCTGTAATGAGTATTTTCATCCGCCGTGTACTTGCAACTTATGACTTGGGAATGTGTTAACAAGGCGTTATGTAATGTAAATGCGTTGTTTTGTTTTGTTCATTCAAATATTTTTATTTTCAGGAAGTGTTTGCGCTTTCTTTAAGCGCAATACAAGTTCAGTACAACGTCAATTCTTCTCGCAAAGAACTGCCGTGGCGGTAACATGTCGAAGTCGGTAGTGATTTTGTATTGAAAGAAGGATGAAGAATGTTCGTTCGTGGGGATAAGAAATAAAAAATGGTCGAATATCAGTTAATTGTTGTTTGTGATTGTTTTGTTAGTGCGGATAAGATAACATTTTGATAATTTGGAAATAAAGACGGAAGTAAACATGTGCAGTTGTATGTAATAAATAGCAAAGCAGAAGATATAATGTGTGTTTCATTTGTGAAAGTTTGTAAATAAAAATTTTAGTTAAAGTTAAATGTAAGTTTTGGTCGCTGATTGTTCTTTTAAGTTATAAATTCAAATGCATCAATCTTAAAATGTATACACACTATCTTCTTGGTTTCTTTTCTTTACATGAGTCAATAATAAAATGTGTTAACAAGATGAACTGTTATTTCTGATCTTTTAATTATTTTCATCTTTAGGAATGACATTGTCCATTGCCACCACACATATTACTGAGCGACTAATCAAGTTAATTGCAACTTGCCCAAAGATAGATAAAAATGTATGTTTATATTTGATTACACACTCATTGAATTGATTGCTTGTGTTGTTATACACTATTTATATTTATGTTTTTACAGAGAAACAAGGATCGAAATGTTTTTAAGTGACCGACTATTGACAAGGGGTCGACTCCCGATAAGCTCCTTTCTATGTTTCATTGGGGGATTTAGCATGGGTTCGTGGCTTACTCTATTTCATCAACTTCAGTTGGAACGTGACCTGGACCAAGAAGACTTCTCTGCTCACACCCACCAACCTCTCCTCCTCCTCGCCATCCTTATCATCTCTGCACCAAACAACTTTGATCGTCGCAACACTCTCAGATCAACCTGGCTCAAACTAAACCCAGACTACACAAAAGTCAAGCATTTCTTCGTGGTGGGGAACGAAGGTCTTAATCCAGATGTACAGCAAAAACTTAAAAGAGAACAAACAGTGGCTGGCGACTTACTCATCCTGCCTGACCTCGTCGACTCATATGACAATCTGACATTGAAATTGAGTCAAGGGCTGTCCCACCTGAGTATAGCCTACCCGTTTAAATATGTGCTCAAATGTGATGACGACTCGTTTGCGCGAGTAGACGTTATCACAACTCAATTATTGGCCAGAAAAAAGGACGTTGGAGCTGGTCAAGAGGCAGATACGTGTTTGTACTGGGGCTTTTTTGACGGAAGAGCACGAGTCCAGAAGAAGGGGAAATGGAAGGAGGACGACTATGAGCTTTGTGACCTCTATATACCCTACGCCCTAGGAGGGGGCTATATTCTGAGCAAGAAATGTACCGACTTTATAGTAAAGAATCAAGCTATGCTGAGGCCATTTCGAAATGAAGACGTTTCAGTGGGAACGTGGCTAGCGCCCATCATTAATGAGAAAAAGTAGGTTCATGCATTTGAATACGATGCATGCATAGGTTGTGATGTGACTAATAATGATCTTTATATTTGCAGACATGATGTTCAATTCGACACAGAGTTTGAGTCTCGAGGATGCAACAATGCGCACATTGTTCAGCACAAGATAAGTCAAGTTGAAATGGTGGGACGCTACAAACAACTAATTTCTAGTGGAACCCTTTGCACAAATGAAACTCGTCGTCGTCCGTTTTATCAGTATGATTGGAATCTGCCACCATCTAAATGTTGTCAGCGGGACCCCTTAAATTCTGCCTAAGACTGTGCACATGCAATTATCTCGACTTATTCCTCATGTCAAGTCCGCCAATTTAAGGTTAATATATATGGCACCCCGAGAGAAATAGGGTCTAGCCCACCTCAATTTCGATAAAGATATTCAGCCAAATGGAAATGGTATCTGTAAAATTAGATACATATCATGCGACCAACACCTGGCATTCCAAAGACCCTGGACATTTCTCTTGATGCAAAATTCTCATCATTTACCTTTGAATATTATGATTGCATTGTGTGGATAATGGTTGTTTTGACTAATAGTCAGTTAATGACTCTACTCTTCCAACAAAAAACTATACACAATCACATTTCCAAGAACTTCTTCGCCTCACAATTTATATCCTGGCGAGTACGGCTTCCAATCAAAGTATATCAACTTAGCTACCTACCTACCTACGATTTTTACCTAGTCAAACTCGATCGCACTTTTATGCACAACCAAATGTAAACATCTACATAATGGGATTTTTGTTATGTTTCATTTCATAAACTAAGTTAGTCACATGACAAAATGAATGCGATGTAAGAAACGCAATATAAAGATGATAATGTATGTACGTAGATTAATTTATAATAGTAATAAATATAGCTTACTTACCCTCTTCCATTGTGACGGCGAAAGGATGACGTCGACGTGCTCTCTAATATTCCTAGATTTGCGATTTGCCACTCTGCCTCGCCAACATCAAATTATCATCGGTACTGACAGTTCCGCTTAATTAGTATTATTGTGGAAAATGACAATTAAAAATGAATGTCTTATCAACAGCAATAAAGGAAATTATTTGCAAAAAAGTATTATCTTGTTGTTTTCTCTGACTTTGAAAAATCTGCACAATTTACGAAATGTAATATGTAATGAATGATCTCAAGTCTCGTTTTAAGTCATTACTTTTTATCACCCATCCTCAGCACGAGTTGATTGGTGGGTGCAAATAAAAATATTTTCAACAGACGCCGTCTATGATAAGTAATAGTTGGTGTCAAGTTATTCCTTGTTGTGGACCATCTCTAAAATTATTATTGCTGCTCTCGTCCGTCGCCTCCAGTCAGTTAGTGAAGTCCATCGGATGATGTAAGTTTGCCACGAGGCCGGCTCTCTCAAAAGTCCCAAATAAAGTTAAAAAATGGTCAGGAAACCCCTATGCTTCATATCAAACACCTTAATTTATTGACCGCTGTTTAAGTAATCATTTTATTTATTTTAATACTTTTTAACTTAATTTACTTATTAATGAATTGACACACGGTGGTTCCGAATAACTGGAATGCATAAAATAAGAGACCCTTCACCAGAACCTCGGGTTTACATAATACAGACCGAAAGGAAGTTTTTTTTAGAAATATGTAAATGTATAAAGAATATCATATCGGGAAGGAATCGGTCAGAATTTTTCCTTCGCTTGCAAACATTTCTTATGAAAACTTATCAATACTTGGAATTAATTAGGCCACGTTTAGTTTGAGAAATCTAGTTATGTGACACCTTCATAAAAATTGTTTCGCCTTTATTACCGAAACCTATGAAACGCCTGTTTAGTACCTAAATATATTGAAAAAATTAATGAATGGTGCAGGTGTCGGCTTACCGTTTAAGTTAGTTAAAACAAAGACATGTTTGTAAACTTAATGAGTATTAGATTTCATTGGAATTGGTGTAATGAGTTGCCAAAAATCGATACTATTGAATTAGGATGGGCAGAAAATATCGAAAATCAAAGCCAGTGCTAAAAAAATGAATAGAATACTGACCCTGGTTTTGATATGCATGAATCCTGTGCATGTCAGGAGTTTGGACTGGTTAAGGGCTAAATAAAGTAATTTAAGACATTTTCATTCATGATCTTTGTGCCAAATTAGTGCTGAGGTCGTGTTGTTGAGATCATTCGTATCACATAATTTCCAAATATTCATGGGTTATTTGACGCACTTTGTGTGTTACATTAGGTCAACAGGAAAGTGAATCAACGCCATGACTCAAACTGTATTCATCCCGGTAGTAGCAGCAGCAATATGCTTAATGGCGTGTCGTTGTCACATATTTCAAATCTTTATTGAGAGAAAGAGTCATTAAGATGGCCAACTGAACCACTGTTGAAATTTGACGCTCTGTTGATTTCTTGGTACAGAGATCTTCCTTTGCATTGTATACCTTGCTTTAGCTTTTAAGAAAAAATGTATTGTGTTACGTATGGATTTAGCATGAATAAGTGTTCTCGGATCACATTTTTTAAAATGAAAGACATTGTCAAGCGACTAATTTTAAGGCTCCGATGTGATCAAGCAAGTTTCCAGAATATTTACTTGGGATAGATTACTTATGTTCAGCAAAGGAAATAAATAAGACGATATATGCACATATTACAATTTGTAGCAGTTCTATATGTATTTTATATAAATTATATGCCATTCTTTATTGTAAATTTTGCATGTATGTAAATATAGCTTAAAATTGACACAGTCGAAGATTGCTCTTATATTACCAGGTTAACTAGGTAATTGAACTCATGTATGTAATATGTAGTCAAATGCATATGTATTTGGATCATGCACCACAACTTTTTTTCAAGCTAGCTGATATTTATAGCGTATTAAAACTTACAACAGCAAAGTGTTTGGCCATTCTCTTGGTAAATAATTCGTAGTTAAAGACAAAAATCTCTCGAAACGGCCTAACACGATTTATTGCCCATTCAAAGACTAAGTTGGGGTTTTAAAGTGTGATCACGTCGCATAAAGGATTCAATCCGAAATCGGTGACAAGATTTCAGCACCAGCACCAGCACTTTCAGATCTGTTGTGGTTCAGTTCATTTTGTTGGAGAACATCCCCTCACGATGAGCATTTAGGGATCAACTCTTGCACATTCAATACATTCTCTCACAATCTGTCCTCTCTGCTAAATAAGTGAGTCGCCGTTTCCACAAACGTACGTACTTTTACTGATTTAGTTGGGAAGGATTTTACCCTTTGGAAGGAATTACAAGTCTTCTTTCTTTCTAAGAGAAAAAGAAATAGGAGAGAAAGAGATATTTTGTCAACAATTTCTTTCCTGGCTCATATTACCCCCGGACAAATACATACATTCGGAAAAATATCTCGTCTTCTTATTAGCATTAGATGCGTCTTATTTACATAATACCGACTAGTTAGAAGAAACCCTGTTTTGAAAACAATTTTCAAATAATACATTTTTCTTAGGTAGTTATACACAGGTATTAAAGCAGACATCACTTCCGTTGCGGACAATAAGACTGAGATTTTATTTATTACGCCGCTTTGCATAATAATTATTAATTAGTCCTACCATTTTTTACCGTGGAATTTGTGGGTTGCTTAATTGGAGGAGGAGTGAAAGGCTTAATTGGCAGTGACATTACGCAAGGAATGAGAAGAAGGTGTTGTTCTCCGTGCCGGGAAGGAGGGTGTGGGGGTGCAAAGTAGAAACGGCGAGTGTTACATTAGAAAATCATATTGTGGGCCGACCACTAATTTACGCCGCAACAATCACTGCCCTCGATTCGAATACAGAAATTAGACGAACATCTACACCCTCCTAACGAACTGACGATGAGAAGACCATCAAGTGACTATCTACATACCTCGTACTCTTACTGACCACCGATCTGGCTCTCTCTCTCTCTCTCCGCGAATTGCTACCAATGCTACTTACATTCATTTTATTACCATACTCGCAGAGAGAGACAGAGGAGAAGAGGATAAGAGATGGGGCATGCAAATTGTGATCAGTCCACTGCAGGGCACGGTCCGAGAAAGAGTTAAGTCAACTTCGACTTGAAACTGAATCAGTACCGCACTATCGAAAAAAAACGCTCCTTAGAAAAAAAAGTGGTCGGCCAGTCAGTTAGTCCGTCACTGTTATTACGCGACGACGACGACGACGACGACGCGTCTCTCGGGGAGACTCCTTGACTGAACAAGTGAGACTAAAAGTTTTGAAGTGTAAAAGACGTATATTTTCACTCGAGACTGATTGAGTACAACAATCACAAAATATTTATAGTTTAGAGCTAAATAAATAAAATAAACATCTAAAAGTGTCCCAGAGTTTGGAGAGAAGGATTAAATGAAACAAGTAAACTTATTGGATTGACACTTAATCGCAAAACAACCATTTTGTCCACGTTCTCTGTGACATGAGGATTCTGCTGCTACCTATTTAAATTTATTTGTCCCCATTCAATAAATAAGCATTGTTGTACAAACTTTGAACTTGTGGAACGGCTGAGAGTATAAATTATACTCTGTTTTGAAAACAGTGAGACGTTTAAAAATATTTTCGGTCGTTTAATAGCTCAATAAAAACTGGATTACGCTATTTAATGTGCACGTGGCCGAAAAGATAATATCGAAAAATAACAATAATAATAATATTAATAATAATAACGTGATCAAAATTCTGGGAGCAGAAATGAGTGCTGTCGCTGATCCGGGAGAAATTATCGATTGTAATCAACAGCGTTCACCGTTGGTTTCGGTAAAGAAAAACTTTGATTAATTTCATAAACATAAATTTTTTTCGTCATAAATATTTCATAAATAGTGGTCATTGATGCATCAAAGAAATCATATTATGCAAATATTTGTTACCGATTTTACAAATCAAGGAAAATATGCTGCATCTTCTTAATACATAAATATTTGAGGTAGGGTGAGATTGGATCGGTCGTTTTGTGCTGCTGATCGTACCCTATTCTCAAGAAGCACTGTTGCTGCTGAGCTAGGAAATTCTAAACCTTCTTGAAATTGTTCAGTAATACAATCACGACGACATAGTAAAGGTTGCATCGTCATTTGTTACGACGATTTGACATTTTCTACATAAATGATGAAACGTAATCCTAAACTCGTCTCAATTTCCCCGTCCCCTGTTACCTGACTCACTCTACGTATTTACTTATGCTTTACACCCTACCAAACCAAAGTAATTATTTTTTGTGCTCAATATACAATTAAATTTGCATGAATGCGCATGAACCCTGCTCTAATTATTATTATACCGGCATGCTGTAATGAAACACTAATTTAATTGCAAATTTACAATGCGACATAATTTTTAGAGGCATGAGAAGTTGATTCGTAACAAATAGTTAGTTTTTCTTAATGAAAATTAGCTTCATAATGAATAATTTTTCTAATGCCAAATTTTGAAAAGGGGATTGAAGTGAGCAACTGCAACATCCTTTCGGAAACTTCCACCCCCGAATTTCACCTTTGCACGGGTCGTGGTGACGGCTGTAGCTTTGAATCTGAACAGCATCACGCCGCGAATTCAACTTCTAAAGAATTGCGACATTACGACATGAGCAGCCCCCAAGAAAGTTACGAGGGAGGCCAAGACGACGTAGAAGAAATGGGCGAAGATCATGAGAACGAAGAGCAATTGTGCTTGGACGAACGTTCAGAAGAGCACGATGATGATGACGATGATGAACTTGATGATTCAGCTTCTCCCGATGGAGACTTAGTAATTGAGGAGACACCAACGCTAGAAGAAGGTTATGATGAAGATGAAGATGATGATGATGATGACCATGATGACACCCACAGTGATCCAGTGGAAAATGCCTCCGAAGTAAAAACAGAGCTGGAGGAGGAAGAAGAAACCCGTAAAATAGACAACAACAACAGCACTAATAGTGGTGTTGCTGAATACCCGGGCACCGTCGTGAACGAAGAGGGTATTGCATATATCGCTGAACAAGAGGGTGGAACGACTCATGATGCGCCACACATCATGAGCGCCGAAAATGGCCAGTATCCTTACAGCTTTCGAGAATTTCGAGGTCATCAAGAAGAATATGGCGACGACGACGATGGTGGCGAGGCGATTGACTATTCAAATTCTGGAATTACTAGATCCACCGCTGCTGCTATTGTGACGACGAAGGCGACGCCGACAAAACATGTTCATTACGATGGCTTTCGTAGTCCAGGTAGAGACAGTCAACCCTCATCTGCTACGGATTCGGGGGATGAAGACTGTGAAGATGACTATGAGGAGGAGTTGGAAACTATTGCACGCAACTACCAAGCAGAACAAATGGCTTTGGCGAGAAGTCGGACGGCAGGAATAGCACGAATTAACCATGCGGGGGACGATGACGACGATGACGACGAGGAGGAAGATGAGGAAGAGGAGGAGGGAGGACAACCCCCTCCATTATATTTGTGCGAAGGGGGGAAATCAAACCACAGCAGCAACAGCGACGGACCAAATATGAATAAAGGTGACAAAAAGGTGAAAGCGGGGGATGAAAACGAAGAGACAGCTTCAACAGAGGAGACGGACACGGAAGAATGTGAGAAGCCGAAATCCTCAAATATGGAGATTGCCACTGGGGAAGGAGGATACCAGCAGCAACAATCACGACTTTTTCACGGCTCCTCTTCTGCAGCTGGATGTCACTTCCCTGAGGATCGCGTGGCATACATTATGGATCCTGCAGACGGTGGTCCGAAGCTTATCAGGTTCCATGAGTCGTACCCAGACTATGAGGATAAGCTCCCCGACTCGTACCACCATCAGGCAGGGGGCGAGAGGGGAGATTTAGAATATCAACACCAGTTCCAGGGTCACCCAATAATATTCGGTGGTCACACGAGCAACTATGTTAACCAAGCAGGTAAGAACTAACACCTACATAAAACACCCCTTTGCTTTTGTTCCTAATTACTCATACTCATAGATCCGTTCCTACTTTTATATGCATGCGCATTGAAGAATGTTGAATGTTTTATGTGCATGATGATATTTTTTTATAATAATAACAGTGTAACAGTAACATTGCATCCTTTTGAAAGCTTGCATAATGAGACCAAGCAAACTGGTAAACTATTTAGTAAAAACAAGAAATGATCAGAAAAGTGTCTGTGTTTATTATCATGAGTAAAGCATTGCCTCAATTAATCAAAAATTACAAAGAAAAATCCGCAAAAATCTACATACATTCGCATGAGTCGTAAACACAATTTAAAACGAGGAAATCGAAGAATAAAAAAGTAGATGTTGAGATATCGGGATGATGATGATGGGAGTACCTTTCGTTCTGATTGGGCGAGTGGGATGTGAGAAGGGTAGGTCTTTGTAGGATGGAAGGAAGGTAGGTTTCTGCGCCGACTAACAGGCAGGTACTAACTTCCTGATGCCAAGTTATTCTTCGAACTGACTAGAATTTCTTTCCGTTATTAAGTAGAAAGAAATAACATTATTCTCGAACATGTATATTTTACATGGATGGAATTACCATTAGTTTGGCACATTGCATTGGACGAAGGAAAATATTTGTGTTTTTTGCGTCGCCCATTATTGCAGCATAGAAAGAAAGATAAAACAACAACTAATCTCTTTGGATAGCAAATGCATCCTGCAATTTTCATGCTGATTAATGTATAGTTATATTTTTTTCGAAAACTTGGTGAGAAAAATGGCGAATGTATATCTTCCTTGATTCAGTGTATGCAGATAATATGAGCCAAGTTATATCTTTCGAATACACAATATGTCCTCAACCTGGATGGTTTTTTAATCAAAAGTGAGTTCGATTCGTCACTGTTTCAGTAGCGTTATCGAGTTGTAGTAACGTTGTTAGTTATAGTGGAAAAAGATCGACTTTTGACATTGGAGGCCTATTGTGACTCGAGATGAGTCTTTTCCTTACTAAACTTGTCCATTAAGGGTGACATCGGATACGATACCCAAATCGATACTACTACTGCTACCCTTTCTCTATCAACAAACCTGAAACTGAAGGAAGTTTCACCGTACCATTAATTTCCATTTCTTTTTCGTATTTGGTTGCTTGTTATCAGTAGCTCTCAAAAAATTGTGCCCTCACCTCACTCCCTGCGACACACTTCTTTTGGCTAGAGTTTCTCAGGCTCAGTTTACAAGTAAAAGAGTCTTGTTAGCTAAAATATACATGTATAAAGTATCATCATAAAATTTTACAAAAAGATTAACAAGTGCGAAAGTGCATAAGCGGGTAGAACAATAGTGTTCATAGACCAAATTTATGCATATTTTGCAACTTCATAGAGAACTGCTGGCTAGCATGTGTATCTCCAAATGCACCCAATTTTTTTCATAATTCACAATGAGATAATGTCAATTATTTGACCACGTGTGTGCATAGGTGGCTATTGGTGTTTAGAAGAAGGGTCCAACTCCACCCTCCACATTGAGCGAGAAGAGGTCGTAGTTTCCGAACCACGTCGGGCTCTACTCCAAGGAGAAAGCAGTGAAAGCGAAAACTCCAACGGCGTCCAGGCCCCGTTTCTGGGAGCAGCAACTGCCCATAAAGGTGAAGATGGTGACATTAACGGCAATTTTTATCCCCACAACGGTCTACTGAGGGAAACGACTCTCATTCCCCCAAGGATAAAAAAAGAGTCCATTGTCACCACGATTATCGGCGAGAGGGAGAAAGGCAACCTCGCCACGCTTTCTCAATACCTTGACGACGAGGAGAACAACGCATCTGGATTGGACAGCGAGGAAGGCAACGTTCCTCTTCCCTTGACCAGTCCCTCATCTTCCTCCCCCAATTCTCCAACCAAGCTGACCATCAGCAGTAGCAGCAGTGCCCCTTTGCTCTCTGCATCTGCAGTCGTGCAGCAAACGACGGCTGGAGAGTTTGGACTCAACTCTCCCCCAGCCGCTGGGCTTTTCCAAGAAGGGTACATTGACCCAGTTCCAAGTGCTCCACCAGATCCGTACTTTGACAACATGAACATGAATATGCCCATTTCTTGCTTCAAGTCTTACTTTCCCCTAAAATCGGAGAAGATCTTGGACCCTTCCCCATATCATCATGGTCCAACTGGCTCCCCACTAGATTCCCAGTTTCATCAACATTCATCCGACAATTCACCACACCACCACCATCACCACCACCATCAGCACCAACAACTGAGTACTTGCCAGCAGCAGGAAGGGTTAGGTCAGCACACATTGTCTCATCATCCATTGTCCCAGCATCCCGATATCTTCAAGTCGTACACACATCTGATCCCTGAACGGCTCCCGGTTTTTAATAGTGAAGACATGAAAGGAAAGTACAATCATCATCCACACCACCACCCACCACACCACTCGCCACCCAACCATTCAAGTTATACCCATCTTCATGGACATCTTCACTATGGGGGACACTCTCTGAGTCGTCCTCCTCACTCGTCGTTTAGTCACCATGGTCCAGACTTGCCCGGAGATGATGGAGATGACGGAGATGATGCTATGAACGAGGATGACCGACATCACGAGGGAGGTAGTGGTGATCATGAGATTAGCCGAGGAGGAGGAGGAAGAGGAAATCAGATCGTAGGTAGTCACGACCACACGTCCGTCGACACGAGCTGTGAAAGCCCAGAAGAAGGTGTCGGAATAACGAAAACCATTGTGGCGTATGGAATGTCTCGCGCATTGGTAACGTCAATAAAAAATAGTTCATCAACGTCTGCATCAGATCCTGGGAACAACTTGGAGAAGGGAAGCGGTGGTCCCATGGACATTGTATCAATGGCAATGTCCAGTTCTCACGCCAACTCTGATTCTGATGGGTCAACTCCTCCCCGATCCAGCAGTGTAAGTCAGCAAGACTCCCCATTTGCTTCCATTCATGGTGGTGGAAGTGGTGGCCACAATAACTACAACGCCAAAGATTCGAAGTCCAACTCGTCAAATGCGCCATCAGGTGCGAGTACCAATTCACCAAATTCCAACGGCGACATGTCAGACCCATCGGCAAAACCTCCGTATTCCTACGTTGCCCTCATAACCATGGCGATCAAAGACAGTCCCAACCAGAAAGCTACCCTCTCCGAAATTTACAACTACATTAGCAGAAAATTCCCATACTTTGAGAACGGCAATAAAAAGGGGTAAGTTCTCATAAGCTATGATTCTCCATCACTTTTATCACTAATTTAACTTACTCTCTACCCGTTTAGCTGGCAAAACAGCATTCGTCACAATTTAAGGTTGGTCTATTTTCTAAATAGAAATTAAAATGAATTAATTTGTTAAAGTAAAAATATTTAATGATGGATGGGTTATCTTTTTTTCAGTTTAAACGAGTGGTAAGTGCTCCTATGGGCTTAATAAGTGTTGTAAAAGGGTGGTGTACTTATATTTCTTGTTATACATAGTTTCCTGAAGGTCCCACGTGCAGGGGGTGGAGAGCGAAAAGGAAACGATTGGACTCTGGGTAAGTTGTATTTTTTTGCAAAATAAGTACAGTAGAATGCATACAGCTTTAGGGGTGGTACGTACATACATATGTACATAGGATATTATGTACGTGTGTGTAGTTAGCTAGTAAAGAAATATTTAAATGAAGGAGGAAGGAAGACGAGGAGAAATAAAGAACCAAGGCAATGTATATGCCCGTTTATTTGCCGACATTAGTGCAACCCAAAATAAACTGGGGTGTTAGGTTTGTCATTTGCCAGCTATAAATCTGTCATCAGATAATTCAGATTGTCAACCTAGTACATAGCGCACATCCTCGTCATTTATTCTATCTCATCCTAATTTGTCTCTCCCAAATGTAATGCTACCATGCGCTTTCGTGTAGGATGATGTCAGATGGGAGGTTGATTTATACACGAGAAATTAATATTTAACGTGGTGGTTTTAACTAATAAAGTAATTTCTGCAGCTCCCGATTGTGGCGAAATGTTTGAAAATGGAAACTATCGTCGAAGGAAACGCATGAAGCAGAGACAACTTTCCAGGTTTCCTCCGTATTCCAAAAGCTTCCTGGCCGACCACTTCAACTCTCTCCATGTCCCCAGCAATTTCATCGGAGCTCCGGGCTACCGAGGGTGAGATTGAGATTTGATACTGCATTTCTTCAAGTTAACATAGATGTGATGCTGATGGGGATGAACATTAGTTGCTTTCTCCTGTATTTTCTTCGTTGGCAAACAAAATACGCCAACTTTTGAGCTTTTTCTCTCCACCTCATTAGAGAGGTTAGTTGTCGATAATAGGATCCCTACCTTTTCCTAGTTTCGTGCCAGGGTATACACGCGTACTTGAGTATAAAAAGGGAATAATTGAGTTGGTGAGTATGTATCAGTTTCAGCTTGGCTTGTTAAAATGCTCACCGTGCTCAGAGCTAATTGACCATGAAATGAGTGAAGGATTCATTCTCGTAAACAGCAAATTGTCAATTTACCCCCTTGTTTTAAATGCCATTGTTTTCAGCCCAATTAGTTTCATGACAAAGAAAAAAGAGTCTTTGCACGTGTATACGCATGGGTTCAAGTTATTGGTGTGATCTAGGATTGCAATGTATGTATGAACTAAATTACACCATAATTTATATCAAAATTAAGGTCTACGCCGTGGGGACTATCTGGTATGCAAGGGTCCCCTCAGTTTCCGTATTCCTCGTCTGGGGGAGGAGTCACTAGGACGCCGATTGGAAGTCAAGGGTTGGCGTACTCCCATATTGCTGGCCAGGTATGCAATTTACATTTTACCTCATCTCTTAAATTTCACCAGAGTTAAGAAATCTAAAAAAAAACAGTAATTTGCGTTGACAGTAATTTCTAATCAAGTAGTAAATCATTGAGTGAATTTTGCATTTTTTGACCATTTTTTTAATGTTTGCGGTGCACTCGTACTGATCGTTTTTTTCTGTCAAGTCGTAACTTTAAATTTTAACCTAGTTGCAGAGTCCCTTCAGCCCCAATGTTCCCTCATCTGTGAATTCCTACAACCAGTTTGGAAGTGGAGGCAGCTATGGTCCCCCACCATGCAGTGCATCCTCAATGTACAACTACTGGACATCAGCAGAATCCAAGAAAAATATTTAGTAAACCTGACAACTTTCTCTCTCTTTTTCTCTTCCAGTCGTGGCCGAGATTACTACATATTTTCTTCATTAGAGTATACTACCTACCTACCTACCTACCTACCTACCTACCTACACACATGCATACATACTACCTCTCAGAAAGCTGGTTAAAGCACAATTCCAAAGCACAGCATTTTTTTAGAACTCTGAACAATCATGTTCTCAATGTGCCCCATTGCCAGAAGACTTCGCATAGGATGATTTAGTGTCAATTACCCACCCATCAATTTCCTAACTTAATTCACACCTCCGTCATGAAATGCCAACAATGCACGAAAACATTTTTATTTTGAGATTGTATGTCAAGTTTTTAAATTAATGTTTATTTTTTAAGACTTTATGTCATATTCTTTACTTCAGATGATTCCTTTGAGAATTTATGCCAAACTTATTGATTTTCACTTTGCGTTTTAAGGTAAGGCAAAGAATTCGGAGTTCTGCGTAGTGGGGGCGGTTTCGGTGCATTGTTGGGATTTCATGTGCGAATTGATGGCGGGGTATAATTGATAGGTGTAAAAATGCACAATACCTAACACACAGCTTTCTCCAATCGTGTCATGCTTTCTTACAATGTTGTTGGTTGATTGGTTTGGTCATAATAGGAGTCGTCCTCATCAACACTTATTCATCAATCAATCAATCAATCAAGGCAAGAATTGAGGGCTGAGTTTACATTGTGGAAATTGAAGAAAGCATTGTTTGTGATTAATTGTGTGACTGGCCACTGTTCGGACCAATGAAATTAGAGTAGGACAATGCAGGATAATCACCCAGCAACCTCACCTCAGAGAAAAGGTTACTCACATTTGACACCCTTTTCCTCCTCCCAACCTTGTTCGTTGTGACCTTTCGTCTACGGTTCTAAATACGTACGCTGCTGCTGCTGCTGCCGTTATTCATCGACGTCTGTCATCCATCCCCATACTCCCACTTTGTGCACGAATATATATAAATATGCTGAGAGGCTGTAATAGTGAATGTTAAAGTCCAAATCTAATCTGGGTCACCAATAGTATAATTAATTAATGATAAATCAAGTAGGAAGTGTCACAAGTATTGTTGCATCTCTCTCTAAACTATACGTTTCCTGTTCCATCATAATAATAAGAATGTTAAACCATGTCACGTGGAATAGGACGGGAATGTAAAGGTCATTTCCTATATGCATGTTGTTACGCAGGCATGCCAATGTACTTAAAAAATCATAAAAGCTACTTATTACATATGTGGGAATGGAGGAGGGTGGAATGCAATTTGGAACAATTTTATGCTTTTATTTGTATTTGTTGTATGGTTCCTTCGTCCCCGGTGACAGATTTTATATAGATTTAGTAAGTCCTAGTTTACACAAGATTATCACTTTTGCTCAGAACGTTTCCAAACAGTTGATTCAGGAAAAATTACAAAAGTAATTAATGTGAAAAGGTATACGTAAAATGCATTCGAACAATCAATTTAAAGACGTGAAGAAAAGGGTATACTATTTACAAAATGTTTTATTATGATTATTTTGTGCAATCATCGTAACTTTATGTATAACTAAATAATAAGTATGTTGTTAACTAAATAATTGGGGCATTTAATATTGTGGTGGGCGTTGCACAAGAATGAATTTGTATTTATTTATTTTCTTTGTGGTTAACAGATTCATTATTTATGCTTCTATTTTTACCAAATGGAAGTAAAATTATTTCATATTTTGAATATTTCATTTATTAGATTATAGTAATCATTACTTTTGGTATTAATTACGAAATTACTTGTATGTACATACAGTGATCTACTATGTAGGTACGTGGCACTTAAATATATTTAATCATTATTTTGCAATTACGAAAATATCTACCTAAATTATTATAAAGTCAAGTTGTAACAAACTCGTGAAATCATTTAGGTTACAAATAAAGCCTGTGCGTTGGGTTTTTTCTCGTTATTTAGTATTTGTAGCTGTAGTTTAAATTAACCTAAAGAATCTCTTAATATGATACGTTGAAATCTTTTGTATTATACCATTTCCACTTAAATTTTCGGCTACAGACTATAATTACTACATTGTAATGTGTTGAGTTGTTGGTGGATTAGCGACAAAAAATGTGGTTGAAAATAAACGTGCTGAATGTTCAAAGTGTGAAGTGTTGATGGTTCATTTTCTTGTGTCAATGGTGCCTCATTCAAGATGCTCTTTAGGCATTCAACTTTTTCCTTTTTGCATTCTTGCTTCCGAAAACAAGGCTGCATTTGCATTTGCATTGCAATAGTTGAGAATCTCAACTTGAGATCGCACATAAATATGTACATACATTTAGGCAACATGTACATGTTGTGGGTTGAAGGAAAGGTTGATCCCATGGTTTAACTTTGCATGAATCGGAACTTGCAGCATAAAATCATGATCATCGTCAATATAAAGCAAGGGAACAAACCAAGGTCACAGAATTATTTTTATACATGAATTAAAAAAGTAGCAAAACTTTTAAATCATCCTTTAATAAATTGCATATATAAACACGCCAAGAAAACACCCGGAAATGTACACAATTTTAAGTAAATGCAACCGTCATTTACAATAAAAATTCCCCACGCAGGCCTTTAATGTACTGGCATGTACAGAATTTGTGACAACCACTCAAAGAATTTGAACGTTGTGAAACCAGTGTCGTAAAGTTGGTCTGCTAATGAGGTTCATAAAGAAGGAGGGCAATTTCCAGTTTTCACAACAGAGCGGTTGATTTACTAAACTCTTCACCCGTATTTGTAAACTTGGATTTGTTCACACAAACATCTTGACGTTTGATGATGAGCCCAAAAGCTTCAATTATTAGTGACGTATCAAATAAGTCATTCCGTGTCAGTACTTTTGACATTCATTAGCATTATTATTATTCATTCTTCATCAAACAATAATAAAAAGGTCACGCTGCAATTAACCCGAACTTTGTCCAAGTCGTGAGAAAGGGGGTGATGACGACGTGGTGTGGATCATGCAGGCGTCAACTCGATGGGTGGAGAGAGAGAGGTGTGACGATTACATAGGTACGTGACAGCCGAAATTGTGGATTGCGGAAGTTCAACAGTGCTTTTTCATTGAAGGCGTAGGCAGGCAGGCAGAAGTACCAAGAACACAGAGGACAACCATCCAATGAACGATTTCCAAATTGAATTGCTATTCATTGTCTCCAACCAACGCAGGAAGGGTTGACCTGGATTTTAGGCGTGAATTTGATTGATTGGAGCATGCTCTCCTCGAAAATTTATGCATACGTACATATGTACGGACATTCTCCTTCGGGGGCGATTTTGTAATATGTGCGACGAATGTACATGTGTAATGTATGCATGTCGTGGTGCTTTTTATCCATTTCATACATACACTCTTTCACGTCGGAGTTCACACACAATTGTCAGCGGAATGATTTTTTGTTGGCAAGAGGCCAATTAGCATTATTGGGAGGGAGGTATGCAGCACAGAAGAGTCTGAACCTGGTTCAAGAAGTATGCAACATTTCTGCATTGTATTTCTTTCCGTTTCTTATCTCGGTAATAAAGCTCCAATGCTAAGGCAGTAATAAAATACCAGGAAATCATGGTCCAGAACTTGCCGGACTCAACTACGAATTTAGTTTGGCATAATTATGTGATTTTTTGTTTGTTTTTGATCTTGGAAATTTTCCTCTTCTTAGCATCCAGTGTAGTAAATAATATGAGTATCATAGCTTTCACAAAAATTATTAGTCATGTAAAAAATGAGCCAATAATTATGTACATAATTCCCTATAGACAATGGTTGAATAAGCAAATTGATTATTCGAAGGTTCAGTGTACATGTATGTAAGTAACTTCAGAACTTTGTACAAGTATGTACATATGAACCTATGTACAGATACATATGCACATCCATACATGTGACATACGTCAGTGATGATTTACCAAACGGGACACGCAGTAAGAACCAAGTATTCCACATTCAATTCCAAGAAAACGCAGAGACCAACATAATCAAAAGATCACAATTTGTGATTCACAGATGAAATAGAAATTTGCTGCGTCAACTGCGTCGATTATCAGCGTGTATCCCTCCTTTTGGATTGTGAATCCAAAGTAAAGTATTTGCAAACCTAGCAAAAGTACGAAAAAATTGTACAGCAATGAGACTGATGGTTTGACTCAGGAAATATATCGCTAGATTTGTAACTTAATGTTTTAAAAGCACGTGCATTATTTGGTACTCGACTTCTGTAATGCATATTATGTAGCGATGTACATACGGCATGCACAGATTTATGTAGATGTACGTACATTTGCATGTGCATGATAAAATTCATACAATAATGGTTGATACTTTATTTTTAAAAGCTGGCTGATTATAAGCGTAATATTTGTGCCGGCTCCTCATGCCCAAGCCATAAAATTCTATTTGACGTCTTCTACATGTAGTTACTGAGGGTGTTGAATTACTTCATTTATTCCATTGCCACATAGCCATAAAACAATGCTTTATTACTTGACTTGGGTATTTTGCCAGGGATTAATATGCATCCGTAAAATTTGCCCTGCTGAACTCTGAGTGACGATGAAACGACAAAGTGTCCAATTACATGTGTAAAAATGACAAGAATTGCAAAACTGCACATGCAGATGGATGGAGCCTGCTTATGGCTGCAGGTTTCAAAATATTCGAGAAAAATTACAGATTTTTAAATTAATAAGTAACAGTAATCAAAAGTTAATTTGAGAGGTAATACTAACAATAAGTTGATTTTTTGTGTACGTTAATTGGATGTACATTATTGCATGCATATTGCCGTGTAACATGTCAATTATCGGGTTGGATGGGATAACCTCGACGTCATACAATATTCAATTGCTTGCAAATGAGCACCGACTTTTAGAGGCAGGAGACTACATACTACTTACAGCAAAATTCAATTTGTAACATTTTAGCTTGACAACAATCAGTCCAAGGGTTCTCACATTACGCTCATGCTTTTTCCCATCTCAACGAAAAACAAAGTATCAGTTTCATGTTCGGTTTAAATGTTTCGTGAAATTGAGTGGGCCTACTCTCCCTCCTACCAAAACTATCTCTCTCAAAGACGCAAAGTCACTCCATTATTTTCGGAGGCGATGGCAAAGACAAATGTTTTGATTTCAGGCAGCAAAGTTCTCCATATTGCATTAAATAAAGTTTGTGTCGTTTTCAAACGTGGACTTTCACCGGTAGGCAGTACCGTACCAACAGTGGTATATGGTGGCAGCAAATACCAGGCCCGGGCTCGGTCGCTAGCTTTCCACTAGGTATAATGGACCTTTTGTCTATTGAAGATTAAAAAAAAGTTTTTGTTTAGATGTACCTAACATTAAACTGCTAGATATTATTTGTATTTCATGGGTAATTATTTTTGTATGAATTTGAGCAGACATACTGGACAATTTTTAATTTTAATAGCCTGACTTTCGAATCTTAAATTAATATGCAAAATCGTCATCTTAGCTGAACCTTCATGTTTTTTGGCAACTTGAAATGTGCCTTGCTAGGGAGCAAATTTACCATAAGCCAGGGACAAACTTTGGTATAAACTTAGGCCCCTTAATCGGCAATGCGACGACGCCAGAGGTCTCGCTCCGATTTTGACGAAACCACGATAATTATGTAACCTTAGACAAATAATTGAACACGTGTTTCAGGATTTTTCATAATGCTCAGCTTAAATGAAATTATGACGGAATCCGTGAGCGAGAATTTCTATTTTTACCGTGATATTTTCATGCGAGGGAGAAAAATACAGATTCTCGCATACTAATTCCATGCATGATAATTCGTTTAAGGTTAAAATGGGTCGGCATGAAGTGGTTTCCTCAAATTTTGACCCGACCAATTTTAAATTGCTCACGCACCCAAATAACCCGAACGGTAATTTTCATGTTCCTGAATGTTCGTGTTTTCGGTTGTGGAAGAAGTTTTGAATACATTGTCAGCCAAAGCAGGATTTTTCAAAACGTTGTTAATTTTAAAATTTTAACTCTATTTCAACAAGCAAGTAACATGTTTGCTAAAAAATTACCTCAATAAAATTATAAAAACTGTTTTTGGAAAAACTTTTAATGTTTGAAATTTTGATACTATTTCGAAATTTTGAAAAAATGTTACAGACCAGAAAATTTTTTTGAATTGTGGAAGTTTCTTAAACTCAATGTAATTCTGTGCAATAAAGTGCTTTCATTTTTTGAAATGGGGTAAAAATTTATTACTTTGAAAAACCCTGATTTGGCTTAAAATGTATTCACAAATTCTGGCACAACCGAAAACACGAACATTCAGGAAAACGAAAATTATGGTTCGAGTTATTTCGGTGTCTGAGCAATTTAAAATTACAATTTAATTGTCACTATTTTCCCGTGGATCTGGGAAAATAGTGTGCTCTAAATAGGTAAAATATTACTTCGTTCCTAAATACTACTAGTATTCTGGAGCGAAAACGATTGCGTAATATCGAATATATTTAACATGAAGGGCCCGGCACTGAAGCTCATACCAGGCCTGAAAATTTCACGGTACGGCTCTGCCGGTAGGTGAATATATAGGTAGTTCACTAACTGGTAGTATGCACTTTACTATGATGTACTATGATGAAATTTTAGATTAAAAGTAAAAATTAAGAGCTTGGTCTACTTAAAAGATTTATCCCTTACTGAATCCTTAAGTTAGTAGAAATGTATGACTAAAAAAATAATTCAGACAAAAGCAGAACGTTACGTTGTCTGGTTTAGTTCAAGACGGGATTAGGGATGTAAATGAAGGAAGGCTGAAATGAGACCCTAGATTGACTGACACTGACCTTATCCAACTTGCTAAAACTTTGGGAAAGAAAGGATACAGTGCACACACAGGATTAAGTAACAGTCGTATGTGTACTGTAAATAGTAGTGATTCCCGATCCGAAAATGTACAATTTAACACCATCACCACTAACACGTACTGAACTGTCTCTGTCTTGAACATCTTTTAAAGAAAACAAGTTAGTTTTTTACCCGTCATTCAAGATTCATGGGTGGCTCGGGACAGCCACTTTGCAGCTCTATTAAGCATTAATTTTCCGACAGAACGAAGCTCAGATTTAACTTTTA